TAACTCATGTCATTTCACACCCCCCACTTTGTGGAGCAAAGTTAAGACTCTCGGGACGAGTCGCCATGTTTGGGGTTTATGGCTAGGCTTCTCCTTCCTTGCTCTTGAGTGAAAAGAGAGAAGCCAAACGTCCCCCGCTAACAAAGTTAAAGTTTTACTCAATCATACCTTATCTTGTTGATTTCGATGGTCTCATATTCTTAACTTTTAGTATTAACAATGAACTCTGAGAGCACCTAACTACCGGCTCCAGTAACTATCAACAGTTATTGTGTCCAATTGTGTTTGGTTGAGACACTGGAAGTCTTATTGGTCCAAAAAAAGGTTGCTCATCAATGATTTTGCAGAGTACTTCAGTAGATCAGCGGGTATGGGGTATAAGGAGATGTATGAATGTTATCTATTCGATTTCTTAACTCCAATGCCCCTTATACCTTCATGTTGATTTGTTATTCCTCCATTTTCTTTGGAACACCAGCTTTACATGTGTTGTATCTCTTTGTCAGAAATATTTTTTCTCCAATTCCTAAGTATCAGTTGAGCGTTAACACAACCTTTGTCCTTTCTTCAGATTTTCCAAATTGGATAAGAACAATCTGATAAGTCCTCCTTTGCTTGTTCATTGGCGTTTCCAAAATTTATATTTTTCGTTCAAAATTGAAATTTCTGAGTAAATTCATGAGGTAGTTTCAATACTATAAACGGAATTATATCATTTGAATTGTATTTTGATGATAAACAACACGGTGGCGGTCATCAACAAGATCCCAGAATCGGAGACAGAGTTCTTGAGTTCTACAATTGGTTGAGAAATGAAATAACCATAGAAGAAGAAGATCCTAGCCGAAGAAATATCTTCACACAAGGAGTCGTCGGAGTTCTACAACACAAGTTTGGAACTTGTGATAGACTAGCAACCACGTTCACAGTAACATATTTCTGATTGTTTCAATAGTCCCTCGATCAATTGTTTGTTATCATCACAATCGACCGCCTTGAACATAAAAAAAAATAAATTCGTCTCAGATTCATTTTGTGTTACTGTTGCGAACAGATATCATTCGAACAGAGATAGCGTCAAGACCGAAATGGGATTGGTTTCCATGGCGGAACGAACTCTCAGTTTGAGCTTGTATGACTGAAATTGTCGTGTTCAGTATTATTCTCAATCATGTGTTGTCCATTGTTTGAAGAAAAAAGCGAAAACCCATTCTGTTTGCGGTAAGTTATGTTCATTTCTGTTGCTTGTCCCACTTTTTATGAAACGAACGCGAAATGAGCTCCAGAAAATGATTTGATCATTCTCATTTTGCTCAAAACATTCCATCAGCGGTCGCTTCAATATGATCGACCGCTAAAATTTGCTTCAGAATGAAAAACTGAAAAATTCATTTTCTACTTCGAAGTTTTGCTGTTCGGTTGTGCTTCCAGACTTGAAAAATCATAGCTTAACGTAAAATGCTCAGTTTTCGCTGATCTTTTTTTCTGTTTTGATTCTTATCCTCTAGGGATAGCTTCAGTCGTGTTAGGATGACGAAATCTTCTTAACGAACTCATATCCTTTTTTTACATCAAAAAAATAACAGTATGATTGAAGGAAGTTTAATATATAAATAACTCTTCCACAGGGGATTCCACATGTTTCCAGTTCAGAAACACGTCCTATAGAGAGTTTTATCTATAAATACAGTTGGTCAAAGGCTCTTCGATGTTACACGCAGTTTCATGCACTTGATAAGAATTCTAGAAAACAAAAATTCTCCCCGGCCGGGAATTGAACCCGGGTCTCGCATGTGACAGACGCGGATACTCACCACTATACTACCGAGGACACACAACTGCGACAAAACTTTTAATTCTGATTTAATATAAGACGTAGCTGAAGCTTGTTAAATTTTGTTAGTATTTTGAGCATTTATAGCAATCCGGCTATTCCATTGCTGTCAGAGACCCACGCATTGAACATTTGAAAATAAATCTAATTTAAGTCATGTATAGTCGCTACGAACTTTTTGTGAGTTTTTGGATAATAAGTAGTCTGTCAGATTCGGAAATTCTTCTTTATTGTATAAAAGAATAGAGAGAGATTGAGAGAGAGTGTATGTGTGTGTGTTCAGTTTTTGCAAGTGAGGCGTTCTTCGATTCCGAAATTGAATGAAATCAGTTGCACATCTCAAGTAGCCCATGTTCAAGTAAAAAACAGGTTTTCGATTTAACAGTTCATCAGATCAAGATAGCTATCAGTAGTTTAAAAAATGCTTGATGTAAGGTATAAGATGGAACAAATCGTGTTGATGGAAGGGTAACGAACAAACGGGTGCCGTGGATGTACGGGTTAAGAAGTGAGGATGACAAGAAGGAAACTGAGTACAAATTTATCATATATATATATATATATATGACTTACTGATTAGGTAAACTAAGAGAGATCATGGTACTGAGAGAGAGCGAGAGAGAGAGAGAGATAGAGACAGAGCGAGAAGTAGCATAGAGCAGATACAAATACACAAAAGTCTTGTATGAGATGCGAAGGGAATCATTTTCATAAAAATCCCAACAAAAAAAAAGTTTTAAAGTTTCCAATTGAATGATGGCAGGCTCATTCAAACTTGGGAACATGTTCAAATTTCGTGAAGATCATGACTAATTGAACGGATTACATAATGGGAAAATTTCCTGGAAAGTACATCCGACGGTACAGCATTCAGTCATAACACGAAGTCTGTCAGATCTGCGACTACGAGGTTCCAAAAATTGTTGCCATGGTTGTTCGTAAGCTGATGTCTCTGCTTCATCATCAACACTTCGTCGACGACGTTTCATTGGGCATATAAGGTTGTAAGCATCCAAAAACGATTGTCCTCCTTTAAATAAATGAACTCCGTATGTGTGGAAGAGATGAAATGCTGTATACCTGGAGGACAGAGTTTCATAGCACCAGGTTTGGTTCTGGTTGGTCGAACTTCTTTTGAAGAAGCAGGACTTGGTGGATTCCTGGAGAAGATACTGAAAGCTGCTATTGATGAGATGAGGAAGATAAGCAATAGTGTTGCCCGTCCAATCATACCTTAATAATTGACTAATTAGAGAAATGAAAAGAAAAAGTAGTTCGAAAGAGGTTATAAGACGACAGGAAACACTGAAGGAGAGAGAGAGACAGAGATAGATAGAGAGAGAGTAGAGAGTATTGATATTAACGAAGAAAGATCATAGGAGCAAAAAAGAAAAAGGAAAATAGAGAACAACAAGAGTCAGTCTATGCAAATGTCGCCGTCAATGTTCCAAGAATAAATTAGGAAAGATATTACATTTTCACAATGACACAATCCTTTTATAGAAACAACTTAAGCGAATATCCTGTAAAATAATTGAGTCATATCAAACATTTTCATAAACACAACCCAAATTGAGCTTTTGTCTCTTTCAAAATTGCCAAATGCCGGAATTAGGGGGCGACGAAAAACAGCACCTTGGAATGTATGAATCTAAGCTTCGAACGACGCAATGATGATGATGATGATGATGATGATGATGATGGGCACCATGGATAATCTTTCAATTTCAAAGAAAGAGAGAGGAGGAGGAAGAGTATCATAGGAAGCTATGAGAAGCAAAAGGTTCATTCAACGGCAGAGCATCATTGTCATCTCTGCAGTTAGCCAAGTACAATAGAGAAACTCCAATAGAGGCTCTGTTCAAAACAGTTTAACTAGTATACTTGACAACGAAAAAGAAGAAAAAAAAATGAAAGTTGATTTTTGAGATTTCATCAGATTATGAAAGCCTTTCAAATATGGTGTTAAGAGAGAAAGCTTCTCATTTCAGAAGGCAACGAGTGAGATAGAGAGAGAGTGAGTGAACGTGTAAGAGAGATGATGATGGTGAGAGATGATGGAATTTTGAAATTGCTGGTTACGAATTGGCGACAAATTGATCTTTTTCTTGAAGAAAAATTTCATTTCAAAAGTTGTTTCTTTTCATTTTGACTGAAAATCATCTTGCAAACCATCTGATCATCTGAATTTCAAATAAGTAGAAGTCAGGAAGTCGTTATGATGGGTTGTGTTCTAAAGATAACGAAGAGAGATCGACAGAGTTCATGAGAAGCAAAGAAGCAAAGAGAACAAAAGAGAGTGAAAAGGAGATAAAGAGAGAAACATAGAGGGAGAGAGAGAGATACAGATATGGAGCATATGGAAACAATGAGACGCTCTCCATAGTCAGAAAGTTTACTGGAGAAAACGAAGGCAAAAGAGCTTTAAGTGACATCATGCAAATCCTGATTCTATTTATGTTAAGATGTTCAATGAGGAAAAACTATAAGAGAGAGAGAGTTGAAGACGAAAAGGAAGAGAAGGGGAATGATAGGGAAGATACAGAACGACAACCATCTTTGGCAACATGAAAACCGCAAAAGAATAGCCAACTAATTGGAGCAAGGGGGTAAATAAAGGGCGACGACATCATTCTCTCCATTTTTGTTTGAGCAAAGCATTGCTTATTTTGGTATTTTGCTAATATCTGTGCTAGAATGAGTATGGAAGAGAATGAAAACTTTTTGGAAATGTAGCGGAATGGAGATTGAGAGAGAGAGACGGAGATTGAGAGAGAGATTGAGAGGGAACATAAGGAGGCGGGGGTGGGAAAACATTGAGGGAGGGAGTTGATGACAAACTTGATATTCACAAGTTACTGTCAACCCAAAGGACAATAAAATCAAAGTCGTCATCGTGGGCATGTTGTAAGCACAACTATACTATGTACTGAAAGAATACAAAAAACAGCCTATGGTAATGGTTGAGAGGGGAAAAAAAGAGAAACTCCAATTAAAAGTGTCTTCAGCTCATTAGTTATGAAGTAATTGACGATCGAGATTCTCTTGACGTCATTTGACTTCAGAATAAGTTGCCTGCTGAAGAAATTGAAATCACACGATGCCATCGGAAGTTTTACGACATGTGGAGAGAGTTGGAAGAAAAAAATGCAAACAAAACCCTTTCAAAGACAATGAAGGATGTAAAGAGACAGGAAGAGTCGAAGTAACTTCAGGAAGAAAAAATGGAATGCGACATCCACAGTTAGGCATAGTAGGAGGAGAGAAGATTCATCGTAGCTCAATGACATCAGAATTTTGGAAACAAAGAATGTGTTTATTATAGAATTCACGATGTTCTAATACTCAGAGCTTCAGTAATGTTTTTGAATATGAAATCATCAGCCTTGTTTACTGCACCTTCATAGTCTTCAGAGAGGGAGACAGCCAAGAAGGAAGGGGTTGAAGGAGAGAATGGATGGGTGGGAGGAGGAAAGTATTGAGGAACAACCAAAATGAGAAAAAATGCAAAAAATGACAAAAAGCCTGAGAATTATCAAGACACATGTTTTAATGAATATACAACATGGTTAAACAACCCAAAAACATCATGAGCTGAGAAGTTTAGTAAAGTGATGAAGAGTAGGACGGTGAGGGAAGCGTTTGATGTGTGGATGTGAAGAGGTAAGAACAAGAAGCATCTAACTATGTCTTTGTCATCGGAATGAATGAAGAGGAAGAGTAAGAGAGTAAGTAAGTTAGCGAATCGTACAAAGAGATCAAGAGTTATGAAAAAAATATTTATTTTGTTGGAATAAATAAAGATTCCTTCAGATGCTAATGGAGTATTAAATAGAAAATAAATTGGCTTAGAGTACACATATCAATTGGATCAACGACTGATTATGAGAAAAGGAGGAGGGAGGAGTGAGGATAGAAGCATGAAATGAGATATAGAAGGAGGAGAGTGTATGAGATAGAGAGAGATTAGATGCCGATTAGAGGGAGGGTGATGGGAGTCTTCTGAAGAATAGGATGCTCGCCTCTCTCTATCTCTCTCTCTCTCATGAAAAAAAAAGTTAGCAAAGAGCTCTGCGAATCTTTAAGAAGATGAAGAAAGGCCGTTTCCATGTAAGATATTTCATTCAGCAAAAAAACTCTGAGAAAGAGAGGGAGTGGAGGGGGAGAGGCTGGGAGAAAGACTTCTTGACTTTAGCAGGATACTCATTTGTTCAAAATATTTCCTTTTATAGATATGAAAGGAAATTAGATGAGAAAACAACAGTATATCAAACTGAATAGTTGAGTTGAAGAAATCTCAGACTGAAACTTTCGAAAGCAATATGAGACTGACAGAGAATACAAGAGAGATAGAAAGAGGAGGGGAGGAGGTAGAGAGGGAGAGGGGTGTCGATGTAGTTGGGTGGGGAAGAATGAAAAGCGGAACTTTTTGGGAAGAAAGTGATTGAGAAAAAGGAAAAATGGTGTAAAGCTGACTAGAAGGTGGGAGTCTTGAGAATAAGGTGGAGAGAGGGAGAGGAGGGTGGGCGGTTATGAATGATGAAAAACAAAAGAAAACTTCATATGGAAACGAGATTGTAAAAGATGAAACAGAGAGTTTAAGATGAAACAGACTGTGAGATCTTGTTCATCGTCGTCGTCCTCGTCGTCCTCGTCGTCGCCCTCTTCTTCTTCTTCTATTTCAGAGAATTCAATCCAGCAATAGATAGATATGAATATTTAATCTTTTTTTTTGTGTGAAATGAGAGAAAAAAACTAATTTTTAATCCATTATTGATGTTGCATTCCATCATCATCATCATCATTACACTCAAATTCATCAAAATATCCAACAGATTTTGCTTCTCAAACGCTCTTCCAAACACTTTTCACATGAGAGGGAGGGCAAGCGCGGAGGGTTACACGCAAATACCTCCTTAGCTACTATTCACGTACTTCACATACACGGCACGAATACACATGTACATCTATATACATACTTTCTCTCCAATCGGAAACAGTTCCAACCATTTTTTCCTCAATATCTTACTCTCTCTCTCTTTCTACCTTCATCTATCCATCATCTCTTCCTCTCTATCTAAACACCTATGGAACTACTCCTTTCAGACGTTTTTTTTTTTCATTTTTGCTAAACATCTTCTTCTTCTTCTTCTCTAGCATACCTCTTGAAAGAGAGTTTCATCTCTAAATCTCTCCATATTCACATTCACATGCATGCTCTTCAAAGGCCAACCTGGTTAATACTGTCCGATGTGGGCCAGGTTCAAGGCCTTCTATCTCTCTTCACCAATATCTGAGACCTCTTCTCTAACTTTCTAACACGAGAATACTTCTATTGATTGCGTTCATTTATAGCTTGATCATTAATTATCAGTTATTCTAATTCATTACAGATAACAACCTAGGAGGGAATGAATCTGCTCATTCAAGGCATCCTCCTCCTCTCCTTCCTGTATTCTGAAGTACGGTAAGTATTTACAAGAACCTTATATGATTCTTATACTCAACCAATGCTCCATTCCTTCACACAAAATTTGACAACGAAAAAAAATATTTTTTTCTCTCAAATATCCGAATTATCATTACTATGCTATGATGCAACCGCTCTTCACATATGTCTGAATATAAAATGAAATTTTCACGTATACTTCACGTACGTCCATGCTAATCAATTCAATATGCAAATTAGAGGAAGAAATGCGAGCATTAGTGAGGCAAATGAGTGAAAACTCTTTTTTTTCTTCTTTTAAGATGTCATTGTCCTCACATGGCAAAACTGCATGCAGTCGAGAAAACAGGACCTCAACCACCAGGAACACTACCTGAAGGAGATAAAGTAAACATCCTATCTATTTGGAAATTGAAATATAAATAGTAATTCTTTGGATAAAAGAAGAGTGAGGGAGAGAGAGAGAGGGAGAGAAAGAGAGAGAAAGAGAATGATAGAGATTGATACGGATAGATAGCATTCAAAAAAATAAAATGAAGTTGCAGGGCTGGGATTGGGATGAGCATGGAGCTCCCGGAAGTGTTCCAGAGGATCATTACATCCAAACAACTTTCATTCATAGAAGCAATACAGGTATGATGATGACGTCAATAAGCTACTTCCATCTGTCTATTTTAGAAAGTGATAAAGCGTATGCGAACAATATAAGAAATATAATTAAAGACATTCAAGAAAGATTAAAAAAGGAAGCCCGAGTGACAATCGACAATGAAAATGTTCGTTTTGCTTCTATCTTCCCCCTCCTCCTTCTTCTGCTCCTCCTTCTTCAACAAACATTATCAATCATAAGAAAATGAGATCCTCCCTCTTTCTACTTCTCTCACTCTCTCTCAACACATAAGCAAACGTGATGTTTGGAGCAAATCTCTGGCAATCAAAGACATTTTTTTGGTTTTTTTCTCTCTCTCTTTATTAAAAGTCCATTTGAATCAAAGGAAATGTGATGGGAACATCAAATATTCATGTTTGAGAAGGAAATGAAAGGTCATTCTGCTTGAATGGCAATCATCTAAAGCATTCAAACGTTTCGAGAGTGTTCAATCAGTACAGAATACGTGAGCTGTTAGTGAATACGACGGATTTTGCAGATTGAATGTAAGACAGGAGAAGAGAACCATCGTTGTGCCGATTATCCCAGCCAGCGAGCTTATCACTTCTTAGTCGTCGAAGATTCGTACGTAAACTACCTGAACCCGGAAACGATTAGTGAAACTATTCAGATCGAAAGGTGCCGCCGTCTATAGTCTGGATAAGAAATACAATGAGAAGGAGATTGGCTCTATAGAAATGGCTCTGTTGGAGTAAGTTTTTTCATTGTTTTATGAAGGAGCACCAGGGAGTTACCTATGTAAAGACACTATGATGAGTATTGAAATGAGAGAAATTGAAATACGAGCAAAGGAAAGTAAGAAGTGCTCAACCTAAATTGAACAATTCGATTTTGAGCTTTCGAATGCTGGCAATATAGCCTCCGGTAAATAACTTCCTGTAATAGCTTAAGTAGTGAGACAGCCGGATTCATTCTATAAATCAAACAACAAAAAATGATTTTGTCTTCCAAGGAAATTGAATCAGCTTCTGCTCCTTATTTATGGTATGTGTAGATAGATAGGAGAATGTTTAGAAAACTTTGAAAAATACGCAATTTATCCAATGAAGCTCAACATGAATGTGGATGAATCAAGAATCTTGTGTGATAACTTCCGTTCAACGTCATCGATTCGACATGAACAGAATTCAGAAGTTGGAGATTTCCGAAGACAATTTGAGCCAATTAACACGCACTCATGGCTTCTTCGCTTCCGTTCTTAACTACTGTTGCTTTTCTCAATTAAACTCTCACAAAATATTTGTTGAACAATTGGGAGAGAGAGAGAGAGAGAGAGAGAGATGGCTGTCTTGGAAATGAAACAAAAAAAACTTTTTAAGAAAGTTGCATCAAATTTCAGTGCCTTCTCACGACATTCACCCAATCCATTGACCATATTCGCATCAAAAATTGCTGAGCCTCATGTTGGCTTTGTTCGTGAATTGAGTGCTAAGGAGATAGCAGCAATGGCCAGAACTTCATCTCCGGAACAGATCTCCAAGCATAGTTCATTGGAGTTACAACTGATAGAGCCTACATTGATAGAGTTAAGGTATCATAGTCATAATGAAGGGATAATGAAATAATATATGAGATAATCTTGAAGACATGGCGAAGGATTAGATACAATCGCACACAAACTGATTGAATTTCAAAATCAAAAGCAATTCGATGAAGCTTTAAAGACTCACCAGCACGTCTTTGTCCTATTTTGGAGCAACGGTATGTGTATTCATCATCACGGCTCTCACGGCCTACAAACTTCTATTTATAGTCTTTTCACTCAGCCTTCATCAGTTTAATCTCTGGGCGCGAACTTCGAATGTTTTCAGTGAGAGTATGTTCTATGGGCACACATGCGAAGCCAATTAATTAATTCACATTTTAAGAGAATGTATTATTGGCACATGTGCGATGCCATGAAAATATTAATTTCTGTGATGGTCTTAAGACGGCCGACTTCAATACTATCGTTGCCTACAGGTATAGACTTCATGAAACCTTATTTTCAAAACATATTGACATTTTTCCATCTAAATTCAAATGTGCTCTTACCGCCCAAAACAACTCACGTGAGATACACGTTGTTGTTTATGCGTTTGAAGCTGCGTGAAACGGTTGTGCGATTTCCAATTATCTCATATCATGTTCTTCATTGAATGTTTTTTAGAAAGCAAATTCAAACATTTAAAACGATTTGAAAGATTGTTGTTGTGAATATGATACAATCGGGCTTTTACCATTGATCATCTAATTGTAGAGATGGTGTGAACACGGGCACTACTCAACACTTGTCCAATATCAAGTATTATCAGCAATGGATCAGATTGTATGTTCAATTATGACATATTTCTAATTAATTATAATCTGTTCAGAATGATCAATTCCCCATTCGTAGAATTGAAGACGGAAGGAGATTTGAAGTCAGCCAAGAAAGGTTTTCCCACTCCCTCTATATGGGTTATAACTAAGCTTGTGTCTTCAGGCGTATTACCTGATATAGAAGATGAATTCTCTGCCGTCACGATCGGCATTTTCCCAGAATCAACTGGAACTGCTTTCCGTCACTTCGAAATCGCAGCTGAGAAGCTGAAAGGTCGTTATGCCGTGGCTCTCTTCGTTAAACCTGGGTAGTGATAGAGGCAAAACAATTATTTTACTCTCTGATTCTAGTGCGGAACCTTCTGTCGCTTCCTATCGTCCGAAGGAAAAGAAAAAGAGATTGGATTATGAGGGACGATACGATCCCGCTTCACTTATCTCTTTCATATCGAATTCCCAGTTGCCTTCTGTTGTAAGTAGTTCGGGGTATGAACTGTCTTTAATCTTGTATTTTGAAGATTGATATTGTCAATGGGTTCACCACCGACGCCTTGTTCAGACAAAACAGAATAGTTATCTGTCTGTTGTCCGTTGGAAGTACAGACAGCACTGAGTTCGAAAAGCTTGCTGCCAGAGATGAATTAAGGAAAAACTACATCTTCACCAAGATATCCAAGTATCTAGAAGTCTCCCGTGTTTTACTCAAGTGCTTCTATTCAGGACTGATCTACTTGCTGTTGATGATGTGTTGGATAGACTATTTTTAGACAAGCGAGATGTATCAACTGTTATTTTGTTTGACAAGGTACTTATAATTCCATATTCTCCAATTTCTCATTACCTTGCAGGATCGTGTGTTTTTCCTACAGCTGCATAAAGAAACATCTGATGATATCTTGGCGTGGGCACAGCAGAGTCACCAAAAAGAGCCTGAACGTGAGTGTTTCCTTCAAAGTACAGTTCGAAAAGATGTTTTTAGTGGAACTTTCTCCAAAGGATGTTCATCCTTTGAGACTACTTCAAGTTGGACAAGTTAATGACTTATTTGGCAAACAAAACACAGTTCTTCTCCCTGATCATACATTATTCAAAGATTTAGTAAAACCGAACGTTAATGTAATTTCTTTAAACCTCATTGTTTAGCCTCCTGCTCATCCTCAAATCAATTTCCAATCCGGCGGAACAGGAGGATGTCCTTTCATGGCTGGAGGAGGAGCTGCTCATGATGAGCTGTGAGATAGTCTAACTGGTATAACTACTGGCAAAGGAAAACGGGGAGATTTTAAATTATTCATTAAATATCTTTTGACACCAATTAAATAAAGAAACCGCATAATAGTAACCACAATGAAGATCTCTTATGACAAACAAAGAATTAGCATTTGCATACACATGGTAGGGGGATAAAGAGTTGGGAGACGAGATCACATCCACCTTAAGCAACTACCATTACGAGTTCATGACAATACTACAGACTATTATTACACGTTGGAATCAATAGTCGGAGATCTCTCACATTAACACGACCTAAGTCAATTACTATAAATATTTCGTGAGGATTAAGGTGAGTAAAAGCTTAAGATTACAAATTGTACATCTACGAAAATAACCGGCTAATTGACTATTTCACTATATTACTGAGTCATACTCGAGCATAGTATTGTCACAAAACATATTGGAAAGTGATACCTGAATAGCGAATACGAAATATCCTATAATACAATAAACCCGAAAGAAAGGCACACAACGGTTGTAATATACGTCGAACACTGTAAGATGTACGTATAAGGAGTGATATGCTGCACATACTACTTACCCCCAATTATCCGATGTAAGCCCGTTGGAAATCATTAGCACCAAAACCGACATTGCATTTGGGGCATTTGCGCTGTCGTGTATCGTATCTACAACGATGTAACTGACCTGTCGTCTCTATTATCTATCTCTTACCTGGTTTTTATACATTCTAAACAGAAAACGTGGAAACATTTTGTTAGAATAGCATCTTTCCTGTTCACTTTACATGAAGGGCAAGTCAGAACTTCCTACAAACATGAACCAATCATAAACGGGATGTGATAACAACCGAACCTTGAGTTCTCGAATTTCTTCCATCAAAATCTCATCAGCAGTACCCAGCTTATCACTTTTCTGAGTCATTTTCAACTTCTTCTTGAGCGCTGCTTTGTCTTCTATCAGCCGACGGACTTTTTCAGTTGCAGTATCCAGTTTTTCAGTTTTGTGAACGTTAGTGGCTTGTAACTGCTTGAGCTGTGCTGATACCTTATCGTTGGCAGCTTGCAAACTTTCCATCTTCATCGATATTTCTATCAATTGCTTCCGAAGCACGTCTACGTTCTTGTTCAGTAACCTTAAGCGAGAAACGAGTATATATGATTGAAGTATCAGACATACGTATTCTCTCGACTTCGGGCACCAATCGATTCTTTCGCTAACGAAAGACTTTCCTTCACATGAAGATGTTCACAGTTCTGCGCCATTATTTGACGATTCAAATTCCGCACTTGGGCTTCATATAAAAGCTACAAGAAAACTGATAAACCAGATACAACGCAGTTCTCACCTTCTCTTCTTTCATTTTCTGCTGTACTTGAGTACTCGAAATCCTATCACCCATCATTTTCATTTTCTCTTGCTCTAGATATTGCTTCTGCTTCATCAGTGAGCCGTTCTGTTCTTGTAACTCTTCTAATGCCTCAAAATATAACTTTGTAAAGCTTTTCTAAAGTCGAGCTTACTTGTCCGATTGATTCTAACTCCTGATTCAAGGCACCTTCTGCGTTTATGAGCTCACTTCGGTCTTTTGACAAGGCGTCAATTTCCATATCCTTAGCATTAACTTGTTTTTGAAACTCAGTCTGAACGACACTAGTAAGACTATCGCAAAGACTTGAATTAATACCTCATAAAGACGCATTTTCTCCTTCTTGTCCATTTTCACCATCTTTGCAAGCTGCTTTGTTACTCGTTCATTCTCCGCACGCAACTTCTCTTCTGATGCCTTGATCTAGAATAGCATTGATACTAAAAGTATTTTGTATCATATCTTCCTTACCTCAGCTTTGTCTCGAGATTCATTATCTATAGATTTATAAGCTTCCAGCTTCTCCTCTAAATCCTTTACTCGTTCCGATAGCACTCTTAACACAACATTAATTCAAACCTCAAACTGTATGAAAATACCTCTCTTCAGTTTTTAACTCCGCTGTAGAGTTCTCGGAGTCATCCAGTTCTATCACAAGACATTTCGAAAGATACTGACGTTCAGTTTCAATTTCTTTTTGCAACTAAACCGAAAGATTCGAATTGCATTTGAGTTTAACTGACTAACCTTAGCAATATGAGAATCAGCTTCCTTCAACTTCTTCGTCAACCTCTCACTTTCAGATTTCAACTGAACATTCTGAGCTTTCGAGGAACCGAACAAAACCTTATAGTCATTAGCTCGATTGTCCTTAATATTCAACACTGCTTTTAATTGAGGAATAGCTGCCATACCTGCCCGTGTGCATTCGCAACTGATTGTTCATATTCCTGCTTCAGGGCGTCAAAATCTTTTCGAATTTGATTGTTCTCATTACTGATCTTCTCGCTAGACTGCAGAACCTTCCTTAAGGCCAACTGCTCTTCTTTCTATAGGGACTTATTAATTACACGACCGAGTTGAACAACCTTCATGTCTTCCACAGCAACAAACATCTCCTGTCGAATCGTGTCTCTGTCGAGCAAAGCTTCATCCAACTCCTTCCTGAAGAAACGTTTAATCTAAAAAAGAGCCACCTTTAACCTGTAACGATTATTTTGATCTATTGTCATAGAGAAAACTCTCTGAAGTTCTTCAAAATCTTTTTTACGTCGCTCATTTTCTACCACAATCTGGTTGTTCTGCAATTACAAGAGGGTAAACTTTCAATATGATCTCTTGCCTGGATCCTAACCAGTTCTACGTCCTGCACACATTTAGTGAGCTTTTCATTCAGTTCCTTGATTTCTGCTAGCCGGGTTGCACTGATCTCCTTTTGGGCCTCCAATTCTGCTCGCAATGTGTCCGCCTGGAAAAACCGAATAATGAGGAAAATTCTAGAAATATTCAATATTTTACCTCCATAGTACCAGGGTCGTCACTTGATGCGGAACTTAACACGACCCCGTTGTGAGTCTTACTCTCAAGTGCTGCAGCTTTCAGTTGCCTTTGATAATCCTAAGAATAGAGAATTAGTTCGATGTGAGCCCGATGAATACTAACCTTCACCGCTGTGTATAACCGATAGTCCAACTTATTGACTTGCTTTCTCGCTTTATCTAACTCAAAGTCCATATCAGCTTTCTCCTGTATTAGTTCTTCATTTCGAGTCTTGTATTGAGAGATTGTATCTTCAAAATCACGAAGCTGAAAGATGGAATTGGAAAACAGTCGAAGAGGGAGCACCAACTTGTATTTGAAGAGCCGAATATGCTTTCTGCATATCGGAATAATCTTGGGTTATACGATAATTTTCCTCAGTTAAATTGGTATTCACATGAATAAGTTCTTCTAATCTATCATCTCGAAGACCATCTTCATTTCTATCTTAAATTTCATTTTAGACCTAAGGAGTGAGAGCGTTACTAACCTTCTAAGTAAGATAACATATTTTCACTAAAGTTCTTATACGAATCTGAGTTTTTGTTGATCATGTTCATGATCTGATTTAATAAATCAACACTGAAAGCATCATCTTTGACTTCATTCTAGAACTCAAGTCCTTACCTTGTTTGTACACGCTTATCATAAACTGATTCCCGATCTTGTTCCGTCAACTGCACGACTTCTTCCAGAAATCGCGCAGAAGATGTGGCATGAGACGCATTTATTTTTAAAATAGCATCAATATCATTACCACTTGAACCTCTCATAACAATCAAACGCATCTGCTCGTCCAGCTTAAAAGTAAAATATAAAGAATGATGAAGAGAGCTTGAAATCTTACGTTAATCCAATGACGATGAATCGTACAACTCGTATTCTCATCAGTCGTTTGACGTTGCCTCAATCGTTCAAGTTCTCTTTCTTTTCTTTCCAATTGCTTCAAAGTTATATATTAATTTTCACCATGTCTATTTGCATCACCTTGTTCTTATACCGCACAGATTCAGATAATTTATAAACTTGAACTCGAGCAGCTTTATCATCAATTTCACTCTGAATCAGACAGAAATATATATTTCGAACATAAATAGTATAAATAGATACGAATCGTCGTTTTTTTGAACTTAAAAAAGACTTCAGTAAAGGGAAACTTTTCCTAATAAAGTTTCGGAAAACGCCTTACCGTTGAGTGCACTGAGAGTAGCCGCAGAGATTCAAACTGGACAAGTCTCCTCTTTTTCACTTGGACTTCCTCATAATCGGCATTATAATCATCAGGGTCATCAGAGCCATCACTCTGACTTGGCGAAAGGCGTTTGGCCATGCCTTTCTTATCCTTTCGCTGAAAAGCGGCTAAATTGTGTAATTCAAATTTCCAGCGTGATTTCTGTAGAAGCGTGGTTATCAAGACGGACGTTCAGTTGGTCGAAGAATAAGAAGAGATATGCAAATTAATATTCAACTTTTTTGGGTTGGAAGCCATACATAGTAATTATACATAAAAACTTTTTGGAAAAAAATCTTTGAAAACAATCGGAAAGACAGACTCAGCCGCCTCGGCAGCCGCTCGCTCTAAATTATTCGAACAAACGTGGCGGGACCAATTTGGGCCGGCGACCTTCAAATCATTTGAATACGTTTTTATGGCAGAAGCGGTTGCTTAAGATAACACTTAGCAGAAGCCCATAAAATTCATGTGAATGGAGAGAAGGGTTTTTGTGAGTGGACTTGGCTTTGATATAACGGAAGCTGAACTCCGTTCATACTTTGAGCGATATGGACCGATGACAGAATTCAAACTCCTCCGTGATAAAAATGGTATTTCCTACGTTCCATACAATTCCTATTTTATATTATTGCTTGTAGGAGATAGTAGGGGTCTAGCTTTCGTAGCTTATCAGAAAGAAATATCTTTGTACAAATGTGTGAATGAAGTATCACATAGGATAGGGGAAAGAGCTTTCTCTGTAAAAGAGACTGAAGAAGAAGTGAGTATCCTTGCTCAATCATCTTAATCATTTATATCTTGAAGGCTGTTGTATCTAACATAGCTTCCAAGAAGTTGTATATTTCTCTTCTAAATTTACCTAATGTCTCCGAAGATATAATTCGATCTTGGTTCGCTGACTGTGGACAAGTCCAGAGCATCGCGTTCTCACCAGTGAGTTTAACTTTGTGTGGAGCTTTTGTAGTCTTCGTTTCTTTCCAGGATAATTTGCGAAGCTATTGCATTGTAACCTTCACAACCGAAAATGCTGTAGATCTTTCATTAACTAAATTGTACACAATTGGGGGGAAGTACGTGTTCATTACAGTTTTTTTTGTAGAAAACCTATTTCCTTAGACCCCTTTTCACTCGCAAGGCCATCAGTAGAGAGGATGTCAAGAAAGCAGACCAATGGGAAAAAGAAAGAGCAGCTAGGGAAGAAAAGGTTCTCACTGTTTATGTTCAGTTATAATACCCGCGGTTCAGATGAACAGTAATCCAGCATATAGATACTTAGCTGCAAAACAGGCTCAAGAAGCGACATTTTACTCCTCCATGCCATCGTTATTAGGAAGTACCAGTGTTGCTCCCGGGGCTCCTCCTGCACAACAAGCACAAACACAACCTTGTACATATTTCAATCACCACAAACCTTACGGAATTCTTGTAGATCCAGTTCAAACTCATGTCATGGCCTCAACCGTAAGGCAACAGGGGAACTACCAAAACGCCTATCATTATCATAATAACTCTAATCCTTCGAGTATTCAAATACAAACTAAGCTTGATCTTCAAAATTCTTTTTCAGATAGCTCCAATGCTCCCAAAAGTATGTCGAAATATGGATATTACTGAATAATCACATGGTAAAGTTGCATTTCATGTTTGTGGATTCTTTTCTTGCACGGGTTTATATATGATATTTAAATCTGAATGTTATGTTTATGCTCAAACGTACTCTTACGCATCTTATACTTGAAACACTTATCGTCTGAATTAGAATTTGCGATTTAGGATTATGAATTCAATATCTTGGAGAACAATATGTGAAAGCTCAATAAACTATGACGAACCAATTCTTGCTATATCCTATTTTGAAAAGGTTTAGTTGTCAATCGCTCTTCCACTCTTATACTATGTTCTAGTTGATAAGCTTGTGGCAAACCCATTGTCAATCTATCAATCGTAGACTCGCTGGCTCAATTCCTGTAACAGTAGAGTCTGATGATTACAAGAATGTGCTGAGCAAGCTTGATAAAGCTCTGATTCTAGAGCTGAGAGGTTTACAGTCCTGTAAATATTAAAATATCTTTACGTTCGTTGAAGAGAATGGAATAGATCTCATCGTTCGAAAGTTAATACCCCGAACAGATATATTCTCCGCCAATTGCTATGAAGTTTCATATGATGACAACAAAACTGGTTTACAATGCTTTGCAGCTCATAATAATTTTATCTCTTAGAGACATATTCTCACATAGCATACTCAATCAGGCTAGATCCTCCAACAGCGGATGTCAAACATCCTCACATTCCACATCCATACAAAATTACGATAAAAGAACTTTCGGAATCTAGGTTAGTAACTTCACAGCCAAATTGTTCAAGAATAAGTTTAGTCTTCGATTGAATTTGTCTGTGCCAAACCATTGTACGGATGAATCGGTAAAGTGGTTAGTAGATACCGCTTATCCCAGGTTGAAGAAATGGCTTGACTCTCTCAAGCTCGATAAAGAATCTACGAATTCTAATCGGTAATCATGTTCTCATTGTTCACCTCTTTCATTCCTCTATCAGACTTCTATCAGCAGAAAACTATTGGTTCACATATAAAAAAATGAAAGACGAACGAGGAAAGGATATCGTGAAAGTAGGGCTTTGCGCTAACTGATCTTCTCAGACGAAATTTTTCAGAACTGGACTGAGAAAACACAAGCAGAGAAGTTTGTATACGAAGATTGTGGGATAGCTTCTTATATACTGGTTGGTTGTTCATTGGGTAAAATGAGTTATTATCAACGTATCAGGAAACTTGGAAGAGGCTAGGCTCTTCCCCTAGATTGTTCGCTGATTTGGGATGTGGTAACGGGCTGTTGGTTCATCTTTTGAACAAAGAGGGTCATAACGGAATCGGTTTAGACGTTAGGAAACGAAAAATTTGGTCCGAACAGTTTTCGGAAGCTGATTTGAGGTTTGAATTGTAGGCGTCCAATCTGCATTGTCCATTAATCTAGAATAAGCACTATTGATCCCACTCTCCCTGATACGGGCGTTCCTGACGAAGTAGATTACCTAATTGGGAATCACAGCGATGAACTCACGCCATGGATACCGATAATGGCAGCAAAGTACGTGTCGTGAGATGACCTTATATTCAACCATCACTGTTATAGAAAGCGGTGTGGTTTCATACTAATTCCTTGTTGTCCTTTTGACTTTTATGGGAAATACAGATCGAGAGTCGGTGATACAGGCAGCAGGTATGAGTGAACCAATTTCCAAGTTAACTTCATGTTATTAGTTATTCTTCTTTCCTAAAGTTCGTTGAAGAAGTTTGTTCAACATTAGGGTACATAGTTGAAGAGGATCGCTTGAAAATTCCGAGCACGAAGAGAGTCAGTTAATTCGTCCTCTCACTTGAGCTCCCTTTTTTTTGCAGATCTGTTATATCTGCTCAATCCCTCCAAATGGTCTTCCTGAGAATGTAGATGAGATCATATCTTCGTTGATAAAGCCTAGGGATCAGGAACAAACATCTTTCTCCAAAAGAGATTCTCACGAAGAGGTGCTAATCATCATAATTAAATCTATAACAGTATAACTTGAAGGTACGAAACTGCAGTAACATTGATGAAGCCACCAGAAATCGCCTAGTAAATCTCATATTTGAAAAACTGCTGTCAGAGAGTGACGAACGAGTCAAGTAAACGGAGTGTACCGTGTGAATAGAATATCTGTGGCTTTCAGTGGTTGGCGATGTGGGGCGAAATTACCTTTGAACGTTTTAATTCAATGTATAAGTAAAGAAGACAGAGCCATCATGAAGCAACAAGATGGCGGCCTACAAACGTTCCTGAAGAACCAGCACCAAACTTTCATGGTTTCATTAATATTTTGATAACTTACTGGAACTTCCTTCAGGTGATTGGAGGTATTGTAATGATTCGTGATTGGAGAGTGATCAAGAAGGCACCAGTGAAAAAAAGCGTTCCAACAACTCCATGTTGGATGCTGGAGAACCATCCAGATGGGTGTCCCTACGGTACCGAATGCAGGTTCAAGCATTAGGAACAGTACTTTCATAAGGTGAACTTATGCATTCAAAAGTATTCACACTATTTGTTTAGGATGAGAACTCACAGAACGGTTGCATTCCTTTCAAATGTTTCTTTATAACTCTAAGGCATAATCGAAACGCCTTATAGAGGGTGATATGACTCAATCAGTGATGAGTAGTTCATGCTTTCATTCAGGTTTCTCGGTCGTATACAGATTTCTTTTATCTACCTAGAACTTTATTTAATAAAATAGTTATTCTCTACATTTCTGCGTAGATAGGTTTAAAGGATTAGATGGCCGATACGATTTGTACTCCTCCCATAAGACAGTACATTAATAGAGTTGGCATCAGTGATTAATATGACATGTTACCTCAAATGTCACTAATTGAAGATAAAAACGGAAGAGAAAGAAGATAGCATATGTTATGTGGAGACAAGCAATCACACCGTGCATCTTGCGTTCATACAAAAGCTTATACACTTGGAAATCAGTTGATTGAATTGCCAACATATTTCAGCGTGGCAGTAATTGAAAAAAATTTGATTCCTAGCCGTTCCACTGATGTACTGGCAGTTTCTCTGTTGTACTGCTGCTGTTCACGCTAGCTACGCTTTTAAATGATCTTCTTCTCTTACCATGCCTCTCAATCGTCTTCACTCTTTTCATTGTTCGTACGCCTCGCGCACTGCTAGATATACTGACGAGAGAGACTATATCAATTCGGGAGTCGCAGAGTATTGCTGAGCAGTTGCGATGGGCGGTCATCAGCCCTACTGACGTTGTGATGGGCGGTCCTCAGACTACCCGACAAACCCCATCTGGTAAGGTCAGCCTGTCTGAATAATTACTGGATTGCCCATACCAGGTTTCGTATTGAGTATGCCATTTCTGTAATTATTTGAATCAGTAATATATTGATCTTATTTCCACGCGTCGTTATCCAATTTGTATTTTGAAACACATTAGTCATCAGTTTTTTTTAAATTTCTTATACAGAAAGACTCTATACTGTTCTTCCTAATATGAATATGTGAATCGAACAGATATTCTGAAGTGAACAGTCGTCCAGTTGACCCAGCTGACTGTACGTGTATTACCTTAACTTGTTCTGTTCGACTGTCAAGACGACAAAGCTAAAAGAAAATTGTTTTTCAACTCATAAATGCTAGAATCTTTGAATTTTACATCTCTTAGATATACAATGTTTGTTTTCTTATAATTTGAAGTGTGGTCAAAAGAAATAGCAAGAGCTTATTCAGCTTACACCTGCACAATTAGTATAACATAAATGTGCTATATCGCAAAAAAACCGCGCCGCATTTATAATGCGTCGCGGTTCGAAATGAAACTGGATGGAATCCTTTCTTCATTGAAATATATCATTTTCTTTTGTTAAAATAATTGCTTAATTAGATAATGAGATGAGACTATTTGCATAGATTATATCTCATGAAGTTGAAGTTTCAAATGGTCCTCTGTGAGTGAGAGTAGTATATCGTATGTTCCCTCCATGATGTTAAAACGATTGACCCTGAAGCTGAGGTTCAGTTTCGGCTCGATACTGCTTAGCTGGGATCAATAATGTCGTTTCGCAATAGTTTGGATGTCCTTATGTAATCTTGTTTTATTGAAACTTCGTTTTCTTTTCAAGCTAATTCCGTTCTAAGGCTGATTTTCATTTTTTCACATTTAGAGAGCTAACGGGTAAGGGAAACAACCATGGACGGCCCTGCCGAGTGTGGTGTACAGGTTTGTGCTTTCTTTGATTTTTTTTCCTTTTTCACTGTTTGCTAGTTCTTTTCACAGTCAGAAGTAATATGTTTTAGGTTTTCTGCCGTATTCGGCCTCTCAACAAAACAGAAGAGAAGAATGCAGACCGTTTCTTACCAAAATTCCCATCCGAGGACTCTATTTCTCTGGGAGTAAGTTTTTTTAAACACCGTATGTAGAACTAATTAGGGGGCAAGTTTTTTACTTCTACCATCACCTCGAATAATTCATTTGATTGTCAATCGATTCCCACCATTTGGCAATTGGTTTGGAATTTGTATAGTGCCGACAACAGGTGTGTCATCAAGGACCACTATCGTCAATAGACTATACATCGAATCTGACTATTATCAAACCGATTGAGAGGATATAACTGAAAAATAATATTCCTATGACACAAATATTCTTTTTCTTGTCATCAGAATGGAGAAGTATAAGAATGAAATCGGAGTGTAGATGTATAAATAGTTTGCATTAGGTAGTCAGCTTGTAGAGCAAATAATAAGTGACAGAGAAGATTACGAGGAGCTTGTTGTGTTTGGCTTACTCTCTTGGATTAAAAAGACTTAACTATTTGTTATTAAACTTATGAAACAATAAAAACAAAATGTCAAATTGCAAGTTTCAACTCGATTGTTTACTATTCATGGTAAAGGTTGAGAATCTAGGTCAATTCCTACAATTAGAGAGGGTCGGCAAATGGTGTGACAATGAACTTAAAATTTAAAACGTAAATATGACAAACTTCTTGTTTTCAGGGGAAAGTCTTCGTTTTCGATAAGGTTTTCAAGCCTAATACAACTCAGGAGCAAGTGTATATGGTAATTTGAGTCTAACATGCGATAGCGTTTATAATCTGAATTAGGGAGCAGCCTATCACATTGTCCAAGATGTTCTTTCTGGTTACAACGGAACTGTGTTTGCTTATGGTCAAACCGCTTCCGGAAAGACCCATACCATGGAGGTAACTAACTCCACTCTCTGATATCCAAATTCTAAAAATTCATTCTTTATAGGGAGTGTTGGGTGATGCTAGCTTCCAGGGTATTATTCCTAGGATAGTTTCTGATATTTTCAATCATATCTACTCCATGGATGGAGATCTCCAATTCCACATCAAAGTATCCTATTTCGAAATTTACAATGAGAAAATTCGAGATTTACTTGACCGTATGTTAATTTCCTCTCTAAGAAGTCATTCAAATCCTCATTTGCAGCTGAGAAAGTAAATCTATCCATCCACGAAGACAAAAACCGTGTTCCATATGTGAAAGGTGCTACCGAACGATTCGTCTCTTCCCCAGAAGAAGTTTTCAATTCCATCGAAGAAGGAAAAAGCAATCGTCAAGTTGCTGTCACAAGTAGGACCTTTATTCTTTCATCGAGTTGCAATATGGACTTATGCAGACATGAACGAACATTCTTCGAGATCTCACTCAGTCTTCCTTATTACTGTCAACCAAGAAAACCTTGTAACCAAAAAACAATTGTCTGGAAAGTTATACTTGGTCGATTTAGCTGGTTCTGAAAAGGTAATCCAATAGCTTTTGACATTCTCACATCATTCGCTTCAGGTCAGTAAAACAGGTGCCCAAGGAGCAGTTTTGGAAGAAGCAAAGAACATTAACAAATCTTTGACTGCTTTAGGTATTGTAATCTCAGCTTTAGCCGAAGGAACTGTGAGTATTCGGACGATGTACATTTCATTTTCGTCTATTTTCAGAAATCTCACGTGCCTTATCGTGATTCCAAGCTTACTAGAATCCTGCAAGAGTCTCTTGGAGGTAACTCCAGAACAACTGTGATTATCTGCGCTTCGCCCTCTCACTTCAATGAAGCCGAAACTAAATCTACCCTCCTCTTCGGTCAAAGGTAGTTTTCTAATTCATTTCTGATCATACTTACTATGATTATAGAGCTAAGACCATCAAGAACGTTGTACAAGTCAACGAAGAGCTCACGGCTGAGGAATGGAAGAGACGATATGAGAAGGAGAGAGATAAAGTTGGAAGACTTCAAGCTCTTATTAACTCTGCTCAAGTCGAACTTCAACGGTGGAGATCCGGAGAAGGTGTTTCTGAATCTGAATGGATTTCCATCAATGAGAGTCTCATTAACACAAGCTCTGAGAGTAAGAACTTTGATTGTTTCCTACTTTACAATGTATTTTGTTCAGATGCTTCTACTCCATCTATGGAAAGATCTATGATTGCTCCAGCTCCTGCCATGCTCGTCTCTTCTGCTGGACCCATCACTGATGCGGAAAAGAGAAGATACGAAGAAGAGAGAACCAAGCTTTATCAACAACTCGACGAGAAGGATGATGAAATCCAAAGAATCAGTCAAGAACAAGAAGCTATGCGCCAACAGGTAAATCTTGAACTCGATAATTCGTCTAGTTGATTCTTATATTAGGTTCTTCTTCTCGAAGATGGTATGGAAACTGTTCGTCGTAATGAAGAAATCATTCGCGAGGAATCCCTCCGATACCAGAAGGAGATTGATGAGAAGCAAGCTGAAAGCAAGGAGGTAACATTCTTGATTTTATTGGCTTAATCATATGTTCTATTAAGATGATGAATGCTATCGAAGAGATTGCTGCTACCCTCGACTTAAGACAAAGCGAGTGTGAACAGCTCAAGCGTGAGCTCGAATCACTCCAAGAGGAAAATCAAACTCTTGATAGTCGTCGTAATGAAGCTGAATCTGAGCTCCAAACCCATATCATGGAGACTGGTCCTAAGATCAAGCATTTCAAAGATGCCATCTATAACATCATCAAGGAGTACAATGTCGCCGAGGTTGCATCTCAGAATGATAACCTTCCCGACCACGACCTCCTCAACCATCTCAGAATTGGTGTTTCCAAGATGTTCAGTGAATATTCTGCTGCTAAAGAGGTTTCATTGATTTTTTTTATACTTCTCATCTGTATGTCTTAAGATGAACGCTGCTGAGGCTCAGTTGTCTTCTGATAACATCAAGAATCAAGATATAACTAACTTGGAGGGTCAAGATGCTGTTAAATTCAAGCAACTTCTTGTCCGTGATACAGCTGTGAAAGAGTTGAAGCCTCTCACTGATCGTGTCAACATGGAAGTAGCTACTTTGAAGAATCTGAAGAAGGAATTCGTCAGAGTAATGCTTGCTAGATGCCAAGTAAGCAAGCTTTTCGAATTGTTTAGTACCTCGTCTTTGTTCAGGCTACACCAGAAGAGGATGAATGCCTCTCTGGCCCAGCTCAACGCCAAAGAGTCCAATTCTTAGAGAACAATTTGGATAAGCTCACCAAGGTTCACAAGCAGGTAAGCAATGAAGGGATCATTCTTCTTTATCGAAATCTCCTTTTAAGCTCGTCAGAGATAATGCTGACCTCCGTGTTGAATTGCCCAAGATGGAGTCCCGCCTCCGTGCCCGTGAGGAAAGAATTAAGCAATTAGAATCTGCTCTCCGTGAGACCAAAGAACGTGCCCAACACGAACGTAGAAAGTACCAACAAGAAGTTGAGCGTATCAAGGATGCTGTCCGCCAAAGAAACATGCGTCGTCAGAACACCCCACAAATTGTTAAGCCAATCCGACCAGGCCAAGTACGATTATATTCGGCCACTACTTTTCACACTACTCATTTTTCAGAACTATAGCTCTCCTGCTGCAGTACCAGTTATCCGCCCTGCTAATGCCGGTCAAGGTGAGGGGTTATTTGGATTTCAAGTATAGGGACTCGTGGTCAGCTCCATCGAGTATTGTCTCTCCCCCGGAGATATAAAACTTCCTGGAACTGACCACAGATCCCCGTGCTCACATGAGCTTATGACAATTTCTCAATTAGTCGCTGACATTTAAATCTCGGATGTTTTTGTTTTTAGAAGTCCAAATTGCATTCAGCAGTGTTTCGTTCAAAAAAGCCCTCATGTCAAATCAAAATCATAACAATTCAGCGTGTAATCCTAACATAATCTTGTTTTCAGCTACCCAGTAAGAGAGAAGAAGATCTGGAGCTGCGCCTAGAACTGTCCTCGGTTCCGTCGCCTGATATTCTCTTGGGTTTTTTCAAAAGTGTCTCGTGTCTTATCTCTGCTGTTTGATTTTGATTGTAAACATTTTAATTTATTTTGTTCTTGGTGGGTTCAACTCTTGTACATTATCTTTAGGCTTCTTGGTGTTGCTTGACGCATCCACCTTTCTAATTCAAATTGGTTGTGTATCTGTGTGTGTGTGTTTACAAGCAACTAACATTTCCAAATCTAGTTCTAACTATAGTCTTTTCAGCTATTTGCATGTGATTCCCTTTTTACTTCTCATTTTATGGCATAACATTTTAAATTATTTAAACAATAATAAATATGCTTGAAGTGCATTTTCTAAAAACGATCCTCATCATCCCTTCGAAACCTATTCAACGCATCCCCTCACTTACCTACTATAGATTAGGTAAATAACAACAATACATTGATAGTTGAAGAATAGTTTTTTCTTGTAAATACAACTGATACCATGAGCATACTCAATACACTTCATGGGTCTATGAGCCCTTGCGATATCTCGCCTGTTCACTTGTTATGTTATACGGTTTTTATCCTGATTATAGTCAATCATGGTTGCTTGGAGAGCTGCCGGACTTAACTACGTTCGTTTTTCCCAAATCGCTGCCCAGGTCACTAGCAATTGCCTCAAGGTAGCTTTGTGTGATCTAGACAAGAAATCCTAACATCGAAGTGTTTTAGGCTGGAACTACCAAAAACGTGAAGGGAGGTGCTACCTTGAAGACCACCTTGTGGGAGAATGGTAAAGCTGTCGCTAAATCCGCTTGAGTCTGCTACTGCAGTAGCAGCAGAAGCGTCTTGCTTACCCCATCTTCATAGCTGATAATCTTTAACGAAACTCTAGTCATAATAAAACACAACACTGTTTGTTTGAAACAACTTTATCACGTCAGAACGGCGAAATAAACATGTTAGAAGATAATGCCATTATTTGAATGAAATGTGCATATATAAAATCAGGGCTATCTAGTCACAAGTGCAGAATAAAACCAAAACTAGTGCAAAAAGCGGGATAAAATATGCTCAAAACTACTGCAAACGGGGATGAGTTCAAAAGATCATGGCGCGAAAAGACCAAATTAGGAACTATTCGCACATTTAAACACTAAATAATATGTTATTCGTACACCCCTAAAATGGATTCATCTTCAATACTGCAAAACTCAGAAAATATATATAACTTTGACCCGCTCCCTCTACACGCCTTGCCACACCAGAGGATGGTTAACATCTACATTCTAACCCGAAGATCTGCCTTTTAGTATAAAAGCAACAGATCTTCGACAGATCTTGAAAACGAAAAAGTGCGTAAAAGCAAAAAAATAACCAGATCAAGCAAAATCTGGAGAAGAGACACCGATGAAAAACTACTGATAGACAGTTCTAATAAAATGCTGGGGGAATAACCACTAGATGAGAGAGAACAATTGTTAACGGAGGAAGGAAGAGTGAGAGAGAGAAAACAGAAAGAGAATGGAGATGTTGGGAGAGAACATCCAATCAAATATGGCTAATATTAACGTTGAAGATGTCAACACAATCTATAACATCACTCATAGAGGAAAACCAATTGATAAAGACAAGATTGAAACAACCGTATTCAGCCAGTGAATAAAACATTGCTGATACTAGGTTGCCACCGGCGAACACATAACACACAGGTGTAGGAATCGAGAATGTAATTTGAATGCCCGTGGCATATCGTCAAAAAATGACAGCGAAACAAGGCCAGAACAATAGAACTATCAGACTAATATGGGTACACATCCAAATTCAACTCGTAGCAACATAAATACAGAGTGAACTATGGTAATATTAAATTTCAATGATCATGCCACCTTAATAAAATAAAAATTAAAACTAAACTATGTCAAGCGGGAGGGGAGAAGTGAAAACATTGCCATAGTTTCAATCTCTACAACATTCTACTTCGTTTCTGTGAGTTGACGCTCCAACTCCTCAAGACTGATAGGTTGTGCATTGGTGGGAATTCCATGAGGATTATTTACCTGAACACAACCATTCAACAGTCGTGACCGGGCAACTTACATTTTGCGAGTTAAGATTTGAGGATCGATTTGCCTGACTATCAGAAGAACCCGTAAAGTGGGCTGCCGGAACACCGGCAGCAGCTAATATCTTTTCAAGTGGAGTTTGAATTGGTCCAACCTACAGATATAGAAATACTTTAATTCCCAGCTTGAATTGAAACCTGGGAAAGCTCATTCTGAACTAAATTGTGTCCGTTAGGTTGCCCCTGATTTGGCATGGGGAAAGGTTGACGTTCGTTGTGATGTCCGGCGGAATGCTGAGTATCGTATGTTCAAAAACTTCAGCTTTTAATGTTTGGTACCTGTGATTGTGCTTGATTCAATTGCAACAATTTAAGTGCCTGTTGGTTTTGAATGAGTAAACGCAACTGCTCCTGTTGCTTAGTAAATTGAGCCTGAGCCTGAGCTTGCATTTGCAATGACTGGTTAGGGCTGGGATTACGCCAAGCAGCCATAGGTAATCCAGCTGAAATGAGTGATGAGTAAATCTTTAGGTGTCAACGAATTGTTACTTTGCATAGCACTCATGAGAGCATTATACTGTTGTTGCATAGCAATCTTCTTAAGCACATCAGCTTGAGATCTGTCGGAACCTTCTGTAATAAGACTCATACATGTACACGATGTTATACTCTTTTCAACCTTCATGATCACGCTCTTTTCTATCTTCGGAAGCAGAGGTGCTGTTTTTATTCATTTGACGCTGAACTGATGCAGGAATCATACGAGCTGGATGAGCAGCACGAGAGGACTAAATATATTTGTTCGAGACAGTGTTTGATATTATTCAAACCTTGGCTGGTTGAGCTTGCTGAGGATGATTCTGAGATTGCGGTTGAGGTTGTGGTTGTGGCTGAGCTGGAGGTTGAGGCTGAGCTGGATGTTGTTGCTGAACTTGTTGCTGTTGTTGTTGCTGCTGTTGTTGTTGCTGTTGATGATGATGATGAACCAAAGCCGCTACCGCTTGTCTTTGGTGAGCTACGAAATTAGCTATGACATTCGCCCGAATTCGTTCGGCTGGAGAAAAATCGCTAGTTAACTCAAGAAGCTCTACACGATTTACCTATTTGTGGATGAGGGATACCATCCCCACCTTGGGCAACAGATTGCGCTGCAGCCTGTTGCATTTGAGCATTATATGCTTGCTGAAGCTGAGCACGAACCATCGGGTCTACAAAATGTCAACTAGAAATACCAGTGCAAAGATATGCTTACGGCTTAGAGGATTGACAAATGGAGGCAATCCGGTTCCTGGCATGAAGTTACCGAAAGGAGGAACATTGCTTGGTCCAACAGGGTAATTGTTAGCACCATTATAGTTCTCTTCTTCTCTGATTCGCTGTTTAGCCATATTATGCAATTTACTTAAGAATTGAGCCTGTTGGGCAGGATCTTGAAGTGGATTTCCTTTGTGAGCCTGAAGTAACCACTTCGTCTCAAGTCGCATGAAGAAAAAACTTACGCTATCCGTATTTCTATCGCTTCTAATATCTCGTTCAAGATCTTCTAATCTCATTCCATGAGCCAGATAACCCTGATTAGGCTGAAATTCGATTATGAGTTACGAAGACGAATGAGCTTCACCATGGCATTAGGCGTTTGTCCACCTGATGACGGGGTCTTTCCGAATATTTTACCCATTATGGAAGCAGTTTCTTCAGAACGCTGTTGAGAATGATGGCCTGAGCCAGAACGGTGATCAGCACTTCCATGATCAGAATTTCTTTGGAAGAATTTGCTCAAACGACTACCCGATGGAACAGAAGCCTGCAAACAAAGCAACAGTGTCATCAATTACTTCGCCGAGGGACATACATTATCTAGTAAAGGTACATCAGGAGTAGCGTCTAATCCAAGAATAGCGGCAAACTCAGCATCAGTTGTTGGCAACTTGGTAGGCATTTGAGGATCTTGAATAGACTTGATTTGAAAACAAAAGAATGACAGTGTTACTTGTAGCTGAAGGATTTTCACGAGAGGAGGGGCGCGAGCTTTGCTTGGCCTCTTTCTTCTCTTTACGTTCATTGTCGCCTTTATCTTTTTTACCACCTTTCTTTTCTAAAACATGGGGAAGGTGCTACTGATAACGATGATCGCTACTTACTTTTACTGGGCTCTTCAAATCCACGAAGTTCGATCATATCGTCCATAGTAGTAGCACCATCAGCCCACTCAGGAACGCGTTCTCCACGATCATCATTTCTGAAAGGGAAAGCAATAATTCACTGATAGTGTAAGAAAACATGCCTATAATTTCTAGCAGGTATGAACTTTCCGGTGCTCGAGAATGCACCTCCCTGTTTCTCTTTACCATCAACCGTTTTCCATCCACCAGATCGAGTTCTGTCATTTCCATTTTTTTGCTAAAATATGTTATGAAGGGAAGCTGTAGGTACTAGTTCCTTACGAAAGGTAATTTGAAATCATTGCTTTTACTGTTTGAACTATACTTTTCTCCGAAGCCACCAGCGCCATTTCGCCATTTGCTCGTACCACTTGAACCTAGTCTGAAACAGAACGACCGTTCTGACTGTCCAGTATTTCCAAAATGACCTGTCTCTATTTTCATTACGACTATCAACCGTACTCCAACCTTCTTCTTTGGAACCACCTGAAAAATTAATTTCAAATACTTATGACTAAAACACTCTAAACCATCTTTGTCACGCTTGTCTTCTGAAGGAGGGGCTCTACAACCGCCCGAGAAACCCCGTCGTTGAGGGGACAAACCTGCATTATCTTCACCTTCACGAAGTTCCTATCAACAGATTAAATTTAAAAATTCTGAAATGCGATTAGCTACCTGCAACTTCTTCATTGGAGCTTTATTCTTTATTCCTTCCACTTCCCATTTATATTCTAACCATTTGAAAGGAGAAAACTTTCCATCCTCACTGCAATGGCATGGAGTTGCATGTTGGCAGTGAAAACTAAAACGACAAACCCATCGAAATCAGTGGAAAGGTAATCTGGTCGGTCCGTGCTGAGAGGTAGTTGACTCATACGTATCATTTCTTCTCTAGTATATTTAAACACCTCCCCTGCTGCTCTCGGAACAAATTTTTGACCAAGTAAACTAGATACCATAGGATGCACACCACTTTCATCTTCTGATTGGCTTGACATATTTACAAGAAACTATAAACAAAAAAAATGAAACATCCGCCAAAAAACAGACTGAAGTAACATTTGATGACCAAAAGGAGATAAACTATAGAAATGACAAATTCGATACACACGAAATTTGAAGAAGCGACTTTGATGAAAAGACAAAAATTTGCCGAATAAGGCTTGAACAACTTATTGCAAAAGCTTAGGAATAAAGCTAAATGAATCAATAATATTTTTTACAAGAAGTTAGTACAAATCGAAACAGAATATTCATCAACTTAAATTATCAAAATTATTGTTAAAAAATTCCTCATGAACTATCGCGCGCCATAGAATAACTACGGTAAATCGATTGGTCGCGGCGTGTTCTGAGGTGTATGGCCTACACCCGCAAAACTCGCCTGCGCCAGAGCAATATTTTAGGCCAATCGTTGTTTTCCTTATATCTAAAGCGTTTTTGTGTTTTTTATTTAGTTCCAATTAATTTTACTAGTTATATTTGAAGTGTATTTGAGAGCACATGATTGAAAATGCCGTTCATTACTCATTGTGTATGTTTGTGCGCCTAATTTCAAATTTTTTGAATGAAATTATTTCTCAATTTTTTTATTTTGGAAATCTCTTCCTCTCTCTCCTTTAACTTTGAGTGCTCAATTTCTAAAATTCTTCTTTATAGTTCATATTCCAGCTTGGCAATACCGCTAAAAGATGGCGGTCGGAAAAAATAACAACAAGATGGGAAAGAAGGGAGGTAAGAAGAAGGCCGTAGATCCCTTCTCCCGTAAGGAGTGGTACGATATCAAGGCTCCCTCCATGTTCTCCAACCGTCAAGTTGGAAAGACTTTGATCAACAGAACCCAGGGTACCAAGATCGCTTCTGAAGGACTCAAGGGACGTGTCTTCGAAGCTTCTCTCGGAGACCTCAACGACTCTGAAGCCGACTTCAGAAAGTTCAGACTTGTCTGTGAAGATGTCCAAGGAAAGAGTGTCCTCACCAACTTCCACGGCATGTCCATGACTCACGATAAGCTCTGCTCCATCGTTAAGAAGTGGCACGTAAGTATTTTTCACTGTTTCTTTATTTTTACCTTTCTTGTCTAGACCCTTATCCAAGCCGATACTGCCGTCAAGACCACCGATGGATATCTCCTCCGTCTTTTCTGCATTGGCTTCACCCACAAGACTGCCAACCACGTTAGAAAGACTTGCTACACCAAGGGATCCAAGGTTCGCCAAATCCGTGCTCGCATGGTCGAACTTATGCAGAAGGAAGTGAGTATTATTTTTCAATTTTGTTTTTACACTGTATTTCATGTAGGTTACCGGATGTGATCTTAAGGAGGTTGTCTCCAAATTGATCCCAGACTCCATTGGAAAGGATATCGAGAAGGCTTGCAGCTTCCTCTACCCACTCCAAGATGTATACATTAGCAAGGTCAAGATCCTTAAGAAGCCCCGTTACGATGCTGGTAGACTCCACGATCTCCACGGAGACTCTGGAGCCGTTGGAACCGACGGAAAGAAGATCGACAGACCAGATGACTACGAACCTCCAGTCCAACAGGATGTTTAAATTGTTTTGTTATTTCGCTCTGCGATAAATGTTATGAATTCATATTGTTATATTATAAGATTTATTCAGTTAAACATCAATGGATTCTGTTTCCCTTAATGATTGTCATCAGGGCATCTCTATAGCCTCCCTTACATTCTTCTTTGATGAGCTGAAATTAATTGTATTGCAGCAGTACTTCCAAGGTAGCAAACCTCATAGAGACTCTTTTTATAGAAGACATGATAGAGCTCTACAATCTGGGCAAGATCAATCTCGGAACGACCCACGAGCACTCGGATTAAGTCCTTGTCTCGTGTTCCCAGACCCTGGAATGTGTGTTTGGCAAGGTTTTCCCTTTTTTCGGATACCTTCGTTGCTAGGTGTATTTGATTGGCGAAGAATCTGGGCTTGCCATGAGACACAAGTAGTAAAGCCTAGATTGGTTTAACTACAACATTCTAATATTTATGATTACCTGCAGAAGGTTTCGCATATCACCACTGTATTCTTTTTCGATAGCTTTCTCTAGCGGGGTTCCCGTTAGTCTCTCAAACTCGGACGACACGTGGCGGACATGATGGGCGTTGGATGTTCCCAAAACTTTGAACTGTAAGATAACCATAGAACATAGTTGATTCCCTAACTACGACTGACCGCATCGAATTTATCAATCCCACTCTTCTTCTCCAAAGACTTGACCATGTGCTGCGCATCCTTAAGGGGCGGATGTAAACTTTGCTTTATCACTACCAAACCTCTTGAGCTCTAAAAATGACTGTTCGTTCAGTCTCATCCTTTCTTCCTTGGATTAGAATGAGAAGAAGACGACGGAAGTCTCCAGAAGTATCAGAAGAAACAGCATCTTCTAGACTCTTACCATATGTGGTGAAGTAGCAGTTCCTTTAAAAATTTGAAAAAGATGTCATGTGATATGATGTACCTGATGGCTTCCATTTCCTCGTTCGTTCTAGACACCAAAATCTCGATAAGAACTTTTTCATTGGTTCCGAGACCCTATGGCTATGATTGAACAAGAGTTGAGTTTTCAAAATTCACCTTCACAGCGCGATGAAGTTCGAGAACGTCGAGCTTCGTAGGAGTTTGAACTAAAGCTACGATGACTTCTTCGAGTTCTCCATTCAAGGTCTTCTTCAGTTCGTCTTCTAAATCCTTTCCATAGCGTACCTTGTATGGTGTTCGTATCTAAAAGTTATACTATATGTGTTTTATGGAAAGGAACTTACCATTTGTCTCTGAGAGTTGCATATGTGAACTAAGATGTCAACGACTCGTTGCTTCTCCTTGTTCCTCATTGCTCTTTCCAGAGATTCAGAAGCAACTTCATCGTCAAAGTTTCCGGCAACATGGATAGTTCCGAAACTCATGATAAGTACTAAGCTGAAAAGTAGCAGTAACAGGTATGTTTTGGAAGTAAAAGGAGGGAGAAAGATGATTCGACGTTATGATAACGAAGGAATCAAGTGAAAAAGTGCCAAAAAGGGGCTGGGTTTGGCGACAATTTTTTTTTGTATTCTGTTTGTATGCCAAACGGAGTCTTATGAATCAGCAGAAAGGCAAACAGACAATAAAAAAGCAAACAATGGTTAGAACTTCCAATGAAGGTATTGTAGAACAGTTTAAGCCGTTTGAGGAATGTTCTCAAAAATTTCCACATTAGGCTGTGTCAGGAGGAAGATGATGTTATACATGATGGACATGGAAACAAGAGCAACTCAGGAAGGTATGAATCATCAAAGGTATTTCTGTTTTCATGCATACGGCTGGAACAATGTTTGTGGAGGTGTAAGTAGCACTTCTTCGGAAATTGTTTTCAGAACTTTTGAATGGTAGAATGGTGAAGGAGAGCTCAAGTTTGTGATTATAAAGTAAATAATATTTATAATCAGGGGAGGAATAATTTCTTCAGGGAAATGTTTGAGTCTCGTGTGAATAGGAAGAGGACGAGTTTCTTCTGAATGCTGCAACCTAACGAAACTTGCCTTGAATAGGTTTCTTTCATTGTCCGTTATACGTCAACTTCAAATCTTTCAGATTGTCTTTATTGTTACTTTAATCTTAGTAAGCAAATCAAAAAGAACTCAGAAATATGACACATTCAATTGTATAGAAAACTTGGAATATTACGCCAGTATCAAACCTTTTGAGAGGATGAAACGAAACGAACTGGACTAACAGAATCGAAAATGAATTGAATGAGGCGAAAACTGGAGTTGAATATACAGGTGAAATTATCTGGTAATAGAGTAGTTTCATCTTCATCGTTTACTGCATCGTCTCTCTTCTTCCCTATATAGCTGTTGTTTGAACACACTCTGAAATTGCCTGCCTAACGCTGGCCATTCACGCTAGAAAAACCTGACCAACAAAACGCACTTCATGATGAACGGCAATACAAACGTGGTTCGCGCGAATAATAAGGGAATCCGTTTAACTTCAGCGACTAGATGGCTGTTCTGCGGATAAGCAATTTCGCGATCGAACGAAACATGTATCGAATTCTGTACAAGAAGCTAACTTCTATGAGTATCCATTCGGTTGGTCAAAAGTCGGATGATTGAGTTCTTTCTCCTTCCTTAATGTGTTAATTTCGGTTTTCATTGATTTTCCCTCGAAAAAGAGCGTTTCTGGAACAAAGACCTCCCTTCTTCGTTCTGTATACGCTTCCATGAAATCCCCCCTCCCAATAATATACTTCTCAATTTGTGCTGACTACTGTGTTTTAAAAGAATAAACCATATGTCAGATGATGATGTATTGTTCAATGGCTACCGTCCATGTTCCGTTCTTATTTAGTTTTCATGATTGTAATTAGAACTTCAAATGTTATATCATAGATTCAATGCTTACTTTTACTCGTCTGAACGTTGTATACAACCGTGTTGTGATTGCATTTTGTTGAAAATGAAAATACGCAGCTCGCGTTTCCAGTGTCAAATTCATTTCCTAATTTCATGTTCAACATTATTAAGACGCGAAGCGGTTGGCATTCCAGTATGACCACCGAAAATAATGAACCGAGTGTCAAGTCCACTTCGTGTTAGTTCGTTATACTAACCTGTCTATGATAAGCAGCGTGTCTTTGCTTAGGTGAGATATCTTATAGTCATCAGATGTTGGCGCGTTGCTCATGGAGACCTTCGTTCATATTTCATTAGCATATTAGCAGCAATTGGAATAATAGCGTCATCTATATTTTTGATGTCACCACACTTATTGATTTCTTTTCTACATCAATCTCTTCGTACATGTTTTAGTAAATAAAGTGCAGCACTTTTAAAAAGTTCATAATATCATGATAGGAACGGATTGAAGTCCTTGTCCACCCTTTGCGCCAGCGATCTGATTAGACAATCGACCAGAGTGAGAGATTGTTGAAATGTGAGAGAGGACAGAGATGCAGAGTTTGAGTGCAAAAGCCATGGTATTAGACGAAACGGGCTTCATAGATTAGCCCTTAGCGGACTTGCGTGAAGCTATAAGTTCGCTGCAAACCTGATTCTTCACAACTGAAGAGTTAATTGAACGTGCTCACTTTGTTTTTTCTTTGATTCTTTGATTCTAATCGGGCAAGATGAGCCGTTGTTGCTATTGTCTGATGTCAACAATGCTCATAACCTAATTTACAAGAAAGCGCTGCTTTCATAATATATAATTATTTATATATGAGGGCCATGCTCTTCTATTGATTTGAATTTCCCGCGCTATCAATTTGTTGCCTTTGCTATGGAACTTCTCTTCTGCTCATCCTTAATTGATTTTCTTCGGCTATGCTTCAAATGAAGGAATGTACTCGATAGCATTAATCAGTTCATTAAGGTTTTAGCAGAGCTGTACAGTAGAATAATACTAATAGATAAAAGAAAACAGTAGGTCAGTTGACGTATTTCAGGTCACGCTCTACTTTCTGCTTTCAGTAATGGGGAGAAGAAAAACCAAATTCCGTATTAAACGAATGGTCACTGAACGGCGAGTTCCTCCTCGACCTCAGGCTCAAACTCAACAACATCCAGTGAGTAGTTTCTGTTTGTATGACCGTTATGAATTAGCAATTCATGATGATCATGCTGAAGGACTGTTGACTTGTTTGAGCTTCCTCCCTATTATAGATTGAAGAAAAGGAAAAAGAGTTATCAGCTGAAGATATAGCTAATGGAACCACGTCCGGCTTCAGCGGAAAAGCAAAAATCATTCGAAGTAGTGATGGTAGAATGGGCATGCTCTTACCTGACAAAACTGAGCAAAAGCCTATCGATCTCAAAGATTTACCTGCCAATGGGTGTACGAACAGAAGAGTAAAAACAAAGCCTAAAAGGATTCCTCCCAATACTTATGATTTCACATCGGATAACTTATATGAGCAGATTAACATTTTCATCAACAGGCTAGCAGAGGTTGTAAACTCTCTGATGAAAAGCTACCATGACTGCGGAGGGCAAGCCTATGTTTACAATCAACATATTGAGAGAGACATGGCAAAAGAAGAAAAACTCGATAAAAGAAGATGTGTTAGTATGTCAAAGAAGCTTTCTGATCTTCAACTCAATGAGGGAGGTGTACCGACCCCTAGAGAGAATCTCAGGCTGCCTAAGGAAGTATTGCAATCATTCCAATTCGAAGATCTCTACGCAGAAACCAAACAACAGTTCTTTGTCAAACAAGTGAACACAGCTTTGGTTGTAAGAGAGTTATCAAAAGCCGTCAAGGCTTGGTTCCTATTGGACAATAAGCTTGGAGTTGTACGAGTAGCATCCTGGACTAATCAAAGTCATATAAGAGAAGATCTCTGTTTGTTCTTGGAAAAGGTGATGCTCACTCAGCATATCAGCCGAATCAAGTCGTATCTTTCGGATCGAAAATCCGATACACAGGTACATCTAGTTCTACTCACATTAGTCAAAGTAACTATTCAGCACTACGTATATACTCGTGACATTTCGATGGAGTTGGAGCATGGGGAAATCATCGGAGACGTTTATTATCCCATATATCCGGTTAGTTAACTATATCAATTAATGTCTTCATGTATACTTTTCAGAAGAAACCAGTTCAATACAACTTCCTCAAGAAGCCTCGACCTATGGAACCAGTGAGATGAGCCATGTTTCTACTATGAAAAGTTTTTTTTTTTAGATAATATTCGATTATTTTCTTAACGCTGAACAGAAAGAGCTAGCTATGAATTTACGGGTACAGTTCGTGTTCTTCTATCGGAACATGGCAGCTAAGCATTCTGGAAATGTGGTATTACTATTCATGTTGTCCTGTTCTCTATAGTTCTGTTTCAAGAATTTTTGGGCGTTTGTTGAACATGCCATTGATCACGTTCTATCTCTGGTTGGTCTGGACAGGTACATGAGACAAGAGGATGAAGAATTTTACTTTGTAAGTTGTTCGAGATAGCGTCGATATTATAGTCTTCGTAGGCCAAGTCTGTGGAAATTCTTCTCCGATTGCAAGCTCTTTCTGAGGCTGATGTTATGGTTCGTTCCTAACTCATTGTGCTCATTTGATATATTCTTCCTGTTTTCAGAGCGATAGCCGATGCATGCTAGTTCCCACTGCACGCGAAGATATTCTCAAGGTGGAATGTTTGTTCTGATATTCTCTAAACATGTGTTTTTTCAGCTTTCTTCCTTCATCTACCAACTAACAGAGACAGAAGGATTTTTCCCCGTTCTCCTTCATCCATTAACTTTCAACCCACCAGTGTTTTCATACTATCAAAACACTCCGTATCTGATGACCGATTGTCCTGATCCTGAAGAAGTAAGTCTCGAATAGAAAAAAGTGAAAGTAGAAAGTGTGCTTTCAGGTTATACGTGCCAAGAGGCAGGAGAATGATCATGGTCGATTGGATCGTAAGCTCTTCGACCCATCCTACTCTGTTGATTCTTTGTTGATTGTGGAACAAGTAGTTCTTCGAGCAGTTCTCTTGTTAACTTTTCAATTCAGACGAAGCCTAACCCATATGCGAGAATTAGATGTGAGAATAAAACGATATTCCACATGGATCTCTCCGAATATTCAGCTTACATGTTGGAAAGACAACGACTAGGTTTGCCGATGCATTGGGAGGTAATGCATTATCTCATCTGTTTTGAGTTCATAATCTTTTCACAGATTGATCTCAAAGTACTATTCAATGCTGTCTCTCTCTTCCAAATCGAGAAGGAGCTTCAGAAGCTTCATATTGAGCCTGGTTACATCGAACAAGTTAAACGAATTTATCATCTACAACAGGTATGAGAATATTCGATGAAAACAATACTATTCAATTTGCAGCTCCAGCAAATGCAGATGCAGTTCATTTGTTCACCAACATTCTACGGATCCATGCATGTACTCTAGTTCGAAGTTTCAATAATGATCATAAATACTTTCAGCAGGAACCTGATAGTATAAAACCTCCAGTTATACCAACTCCTTCTTATGGAGATATGATGAGCGAATGTAAGTTCTGATTATCTATTCGGCTCACGATACGCATAACCTGGCTAACGATGAATTCTTTCAGATCTTCCACGAGGACAAAATTACAATGAAAGTGTAGCGTGAGTTCGAAACTTCGAAACATCGAAACAAGTATGTTTTCCAGATAATTTGATTATCAATTGTCAACTCGTGTTTATGGGGGGTGTTGGTCAGATGTTCGTCTAATCTAGAGTGTTCCTACTTCGTACATGCTCTTCTACTATCTTCACACTATGATTTCTTACATGAGCTGGCCATCGTTCTGTTCAGTATAGGGAGCTGAGCTCTAGTTCATTAGTTGTTTTCTTATTTTAAAGGTCTAACTTTCCATTTTAAGCCGGTTCCTGTGAGAAAGAGTGTTTGTTGTTTACTGTATTTATTATTTCTTTGTCACTTGCCATTATCTTAGTTCGAAAACTAAGATCTCAAACAGTCTCATTCTTTCATTCACAGATTTGTATTTACGCTTAGCGCACTTCCATTCGAAAGCTTTAGTCAAGGGTTCAAAAGTCTATCTGAAGAAATAAAATGAAATCTCATTTCACAGTTTTCTTGTCTCTCTCTCTCTCTCTCACTGTCATAATCTTGAGCAGCTGATCGTTACGATATTGTTGATGTTGTTTATATTCATATATAAAACAATATTTATTTTACGTCTACTCTATACTACATTTAGATCTTGCAAAAAGCGGAACGAATTATAAAAAGAAAAATGGTCAAGCGTTTACTTGGGTCCAAGCATGTTCTCTGGCTTCACCCATTGTTGGAACTGTTCCTCATTGAGGATACCGAGCTTGACGGCTTCTTCCTTAAGAGTTGTTCCGTTCTTGTGAGCGGTCTTGGCAATCTTGGCAGCATTGTCGTAACCAATATGAGGATTGAGGGCAGTGACCAACATAAGAGATTCTCTCATGATCTGTAAGAGTTTGTTAACATATTCTTCCTCGTTATCACTTTACCTTAGCAATGTTGTCCTTGTTGGCTACGATTCCGTCAACGCAGTGTTCTGAGAAAGATACGGCAGAGTCAGCAAGAAGTCTGGTGGATTGAAGAACGTTACGGACAATGAGTGGCTTGAAAACGTTCAATTCGAAGTGTCCATTGGAAGCTCCGACGGATACGGCAACTTGATTTCCCATTACTTGGGCTGAGACCATGGTAATGGCTTCACATTGAGTTGGATTGACTTTGCCGGGCATGATAGAGCTTCCAGGTTCGTTCTCAGGGAGAGAGAGTTCTCCCAATCCACAACGTGGTCCAGATCCCAAGAATCTAATATCGTTACCAATCTTCATGAAGGAGCAGGCAACTACGTTGAGGGCTCCATGAACCTAAAAGCTTAGGATTAGAAATCTCGAGTAAGAAAAAAAACTTACTTCAGCGAGAGCATCGTGAGCAGCAAGAGCCTCGAACTTGTTGGGAGCGGTGACGAAAGGCAAGCCAGTGAGATCAGAAACTTTCCTTTAAAAAAAACACGTAAGCAGTATTTGAAAGCAAAACTAACTGGGCAACTTTCTCAGCGAAACCGATACGAGTATTCAATCCAGTTCCTACAGCAGTTCCACCAGCAGCTAATTCATAAAGACGAGGTAAAGTAGCTTCAACACGAGCAATTCCGTTGTCGAGTTGAGTAACGTAAGCTGAGAATTCCTGTCCAAGAGTCAAAGGAACAGCATCTTGGGTGTGAGTTCTTCCAATCTTGATGATATCCTTGAACTCTTCAGCTTTCTTGTGAAGAGATGAACGCATTTGCTTCAAGGCAGGCAAGAGACGAGAGTTAACCTACAGTTTGAATATGAGGGAGCCATACCAGCAACACGAACCTCACGAGCAACAGCAATGTGCATGGCAGTAGGGAATGTGTCATTGGAAGACTGACTCATGTTAACATGGTCATTAGGGTGAACTGGCTTCTTGGAGCCGAGTTCTCCTCCAAGAATTTCAATGGCTCTGTTAGAAATAACTTCATTGACATTCATGTTGGATTGAGTTCCAGATCCAGTTTGCCATGTGACAAGTGGGAAGTGCTCATCGAGTTTGCCGGCAGTTACTTCGTCTACAAAAATTCAATTAGTTTCATCCTACTACTTCGTTGATATACCGGCAGCTTGGGAGATAGCCTCAGCAATCTTCTTATCAAGACCGAATTCTGTGTTAACCTAAACGTTTGGAATAAGCTAAAGAACGGAGCTCCATAAACTGACTAAAGCAGCGGATTTCTTCAAGATACCGAAAGCATGGATTACTGGAAGGGGCATACGCTCTTCTGGTCCTCCAATTTTGAAGTTGATGGAAGATCTATAGTAGTAAACGCTAACAAAAGGAATATCAGCTCTCTTACCTCTTGGTTTGAGCTCCATAGTACTTATCAGCTGGAACTTCAAGTTCTCCGAATGTATCTCTCTCGATACGTACCTACAAACCCACAAGCTTAAACTACACAACAGGCAACTTACTTTCGCCATACCAGCAGCAGAACAAGATAATCCTCTGGTTGCAGAAAGGGAACCTTTAGCTAAAATAGAGCAGGCTGATGACAGCATTGCCTACGAGAGAGTAAAAAAATGAGAAATCGAGAAGATAAAAGAGAATCTGTGGCTTATCGTTGTAGACACAAGTTAAACCGTCAAGTACCGCATCAGAACGAACTGATTAATAGAACAGAAACAGGTACACTATTATAAATTAATTTTTAGGTATGTACAATATATACTATAGCATGCTGGAATCAGCACTAATCGCGGAATGTTAGTGGAATGCCGTTCAGATGGCTCTTCTTTTGCACATCTCCAAATCACCAATCAATCTCTGAATGATAGACATAGCAATGTTCAATTGTTTGATAACATCGTCCAAATAAGGCAATTCGCATTCTGCTAGAGAAATGGAAAGGCCTTGATTCGCATTTTGTTTAGGTACAATTTGATAGGACGCACATACCTTAAAGGTTCAAACGATAAGGAACAGACTCTAAACATTAAACTGACCAAACGGCAACTGGAAATGTAGAAAGATAACAATTGGTCTTGTGGCAATGGTGGAGCGAATTTTCTTGTAGGTGGGAAATAGCAAAGCTCCAGTAGTGATCTGAAAAGTTCGATGAACTTCTTCCGAACACTTTGTGGCCAACCTCTTTCTTGGTAGCAAAATGGAACATCTTGCCGAGCTAATTTCTGTCTTTATCATTCTGGCTGCGTTCAAAATCAATTCTCCGGAATCGATGCCGAAAGCCTATTGAAGGAAGTACGTATTTTGAAACTTGTACAATGGTACCTCATCATTCAATTGATTCAATCTTTTCATAACATCGCAGAGAACAGAAGTTGCTCGAACAATATGATTAGCGAGATCCTTAACATGAGAATTCTGTATGATTAACCGAATTCGAACGAGTACCTGAAGTTGTTGTAACTTCCATTGAACATCAGGTTGAGCGACACCACGATAAGTACCACCGGGACCTTTTGGATGCTTTATGACAACTTCAGCTTGTATCACATTATCTCCCAACAAGGATACAATTGCCTAGCACAACTTGCTTTCACTGTTTCTATTTAACTCTCACCTTAATATTGTCCCCACCATGTTTACCAGCCAAAGCATGCTTTTCAGAGTTAGGGTGAGTGACTGGGATATTTAATTGGCCATCACATTTATTTCCAAGATGTAATTTCATGCAGCATTCTCGCAAAGCTGTGAGAATCTAAAAGTAGTTTAGGTAATCATGTCATATCAAGTTTCCAAACAGTATTGAATGCGTCCAAAGACCGTGTTTTTTGTTGCCAAATATATTCCTTTTTTGCAGATATATCAGTAGGAGAAGGACCAGCTTCTGTAATTCTTTGAGTTACATTACACTCATAAAAACTTCAAACCTTCCATTTCGTACATGGAGGAATCTCACTAGAAGAATTTTATCATATCTCAGACGACAAAAAACGAACCGCCTTGGTCTAGCCAATTTTATTGGTCGCGGCAGCGATCTCCGTCACGGGACCCGAAGTTAGACCTTCAACTAGAACAGCTGCTGTAAGAAGCATGGAGTAGCTATTCCTTTAAACAGGCGTAAGCATTAGAGAAGGCTAGAATGAAACATGCCAAAGCGTTAACTTCACAGTGCCAAGTTGTAATTTTTTGTCTAAAAGTCTCTAAGCTTTTTCAATTCGACAAAATTGAAAGCTGAGACTAATATTATTATTGTAGACATAGTATTTACTGTCAAAGTTCGCCTGTATGAAGACAGAAGGCTTCCATCAAAGCACCTCAACTGTAAATTAACACTTGAAGAACTTTTCTTTTTAAACAATTATATGTTTATCCCTTCTTGAAATTTTTTATTATCTTGAGTTGTCTTTGCCTCATTGGGATCCCTCATATCTGGTAGATTGATCTTATCTATGCCATGCTATGTTCCAAGTTTTTGTAATGGAAGCTAATCGAAGTTTCTATTTCATATGACTGTTCTTTTCAAGTAGAATTGATCAACACTTGCGAACACTCCCAGAATGGTTAATCGAACAAGTTACTAACAGTACATAATCTGTTCCCTTAAAATATAATGCTCATTGTAGAGCCATGTTCACTGGCTTGATTTTGTATTTTTAAAAGCCGAATGTGTTCCTGGAATACATTCAAAACATGATAAGGTTCATAATCACTATATCTCTGGGATATTGGAGTGTTCAGTTGTAGCCCGCCAGCTTTCAAGAGAAGTATGGATACCATAGCCAGTCGTGTAGAGGGTTCCTCATTGTATTTTGTCCTCAGTCTGATGACAATGACTGTGGATTCCGAAATGATAGTTCAGAACAATGTATAGCATATAAGAGAATCAGCACACTATCAGCGACAGAGTTTATCTATCAGTACCATCCCTTCATTCACTTAGGTTATCTCAGATGAGAAGTATACAAAAGAGGGAGAACAATACCTCCATATTATGATCAAAATGAAACAAATCTTATCTATATGATGCATCTTTACCTTCTGAACATTCAATCAGAACAGAACAGGAGCTCATACTCTTTATATTAAAGGTCTAATCATTGTAGCGAGAACGCAAATCTATATAGTTCGAAAGAATTGAATGGCTTCTAGTTGCCAAAGTCGACCAATGTGTCCCAGCGCGAAAACCAGTCCTTTAATATTATAATTTACGTGCCTTGAAAATGCATGCTTGCTGTTAAACAAAATAAATTTTTACAACTTATTACTGTACTTTGTTGAAGTTTAGAATCGACTAGTTCCTTATTCTTTACAGGGTAGTTGGATTTCTCAATTATGAGGTTTTGGTTGTGGGTTTGTGTGCTATTGGCCAGTTCTTTAATCATTCATGCAGCTGATACTGATTTTGAAGACAACGAGTTCGCCGAGTTCGAGGTAGAGTTTGATTATAAAGTTGTAGTAAGCTGTTTTCTTCATTCACAGGATGAAGAAGTTGAAATCGAGCAGCCTGCTGCTCCTGTAAAAGAAGAAGTGACGGCTGCACCGAAGGTTGAGGTTAGTTTCCACTCTATGGCAAGGTGAATTCATGCGTTTATTTTTAGAAATCTAAAGACGACGATGATTTTGATGATGATTATGGTGTCGTTGAAGAAGAAGAGAATACCAAAGAGCCAGAAGAAACAGAAGCCAAAGTTGAACCTTTAAAGTTCGCTGATGTGAGTTTTTTTTGAAAGCGTGTGTGGAATATTCTTTCCGGTAGGTGCCCGCTCATTTCCGTTCCAACTGGGCGTCATATCAAGTTGAAGCAGTTATTATTGCAATCATTGTTGTATTCCTTGTTAACTATGTGATTGGTAAGTTCTCTTTTTTTTCTGATATTTCATGAGGGTGTAACTTAAGGAGGAACCCAGAACTCTAGTCTTGCAAACAACTGGTTCGATAATAATCGCTACCTCCTCGAAGAACAGTTTGCTCTTGTTGGAGATGATGGTTTGGGAGAAAATCCTACTGGAGGACATATGATTAGAGAAACTGATTTTTCTTTCCTTATTTGGTGCTCTGGTCGAATTGGAGTCAATTCACTTGCCATTCAGGTGATTATCAATCCGTTTTTCTAGTTGAACTTCTTATTCAGATCAAAACTAAAAAGAGACAGGATCTTCTTTCAAGAATCTTGCATCTGTTCAACCCTCAAAGTGATCGTCTGACATTCAAGGTGCTAATTTTAAAACTTGGTTTTGCAACTTTCATCTGACTTAGTTCGAACTTGATGCCAATGAACTCGACTCATTCGTTCTATGTGTTGGACAGAAAAAACCAGCTGCTCGCCAGTTCAAGGAAATGCTTGATCTTGCTACTTTTGCTCCTGAGAAAAAGAACACAGCTCAATTCAACCTTCCAGCCAGGTATTATTTTCATACTGTACAGGGATTAATGTGAAGTTTACAGTTTTGCCCTTTTCTCTGAACAACAAGAAGCTTCCTATGCCATATTAGATTCCTCTGTCACAAATGTGCTACGTCGATATGAGAAGGCTGTTGAATTCATTCATATTTCTGATCAATTCTCTGGACCCAAACCACCTGAGTAACACTTTAGTAACGCTCACTATTACTCATCCGTTTTTTTTGCAGGGGAGAGACTTACACTAGAATGCCCGACAGAATCAGTCTGTTACAGTTCTCCTTCAACTTGGCTGAGTTGCCCACTCCAGAAGCCCAAAATGAGATCGCTCAGTTGGTCTTCTTCTTGGTTGATAGAGTCAGTAAACACAATGTTATTCTTGTAATAGGGATGTTCTTTCAGATAAGAAGGGTTAGATTAAGTAAGGAAGCTAAGATGAAATCTGAGAAACGTCGTCGTGAAGTCGAAGAAGCTTTCATGAAGACCACTCACCAGTTCAGACAGGAAGCTGCTCAAGTACTTTTCGGAATCCTTTAGTAGATCACATCAATTTTGCTTTGCAGGCTCGTCGTGAAGAGAAGACCCGTGAAAGAAAGCAGAGGCTGTTGGACGAGGAAGATCCAGAGAAGCAACGTCGTTTGGAGGTTTGTTCCTATGCGAACTAAAAACATGAGGTTGTTTGGTTTTCAGAAGCTAGAGCTCAAGAGAGAAGCCAAATCAAAGCAGCCAAGAATGAAACAGATGAAAGTGAAGATGTAAAAGTGAGGTTTAAAAGAATTCCAGTATTTGACACGTTTGTGAATTTTTATCAATTAAGTTATTTGTTTAGGTTTTTAATTTATTTTCTTCTAAGGATGTAATCTCCTAGTCTTAATGTGATTATAATAATCTCTTCGATCCAAATCGTTCTTTGTTGTTGTATGTATGTTATTCATAACAACTTTCATGATGTGCTCATCTTCTTGATATCATAGGCTTTTTCCTCTGTAGTACATGCGGCTGAACGAGTTCTGTTTATCACTTTTTGTATTCTTTTTAACATGTTAATTAAGGATTATGAGTTTTGAGAAACGAAATAACTTCCGTAGATTTAATCCTCTTTTGAATGAATGGGTTATTGTTGCCGCCAATAGAATTAATAGACCCTGGTGTGGGGCGCAAACGAAATCGGATGACGACAAAGCTCGTTTCCAGCATCAGGATAGTATCAATCCTTTAGCTCCGAAGGGAGTTCGTTCAAGTGGGCAGGTTAGACCAGTCGTGCTTGGGATTTACATAATTTGGTTAGATTACTCCGGAGTACACCTCTACTTATGTTTTTGACAACGATTTCTCTTCATTCACTGAGTATGCTGAGGACAGCGAAACCGGTAAGCATATCAGCAGTAGGGTCAGAGATGTAATGGACCCCTCTTGTAGTCGATGAGCCCTTGTTCAAGCAAATGCCTATAAGAGGTGTTTGCCGAGTCATATCTTATCATCCTGATAGCTCCAAATCATTTGGCAACCTTACTGAAGCTGAGATACTAGATGTAGGCATCTTTCTCAGTTCAGTTTTACCAGGAGTTATAGGTCATAAAAGTGTGGTTGACGCAATTCAATGAACTGAAATCGAAATATGAATGGATACAAGTACAACTCCACTTCTAATCTCAAGTTAAAATTCCTCAAAGATTTTTGAAAACAGAGGTGCTGCTGTTGGTTGTTCGAACGCTCATCCTCATGGTCAGTTGTGGGCTGGGAACTTCTTACCTAACATACCTCAGAAGAAAGACACAAACCAAAAGGTTCTAAATATCCGCATATGATTATAATTTGTCAAAACGTTAGAATTATTATGAGAGCACAGGCAGGGTTATGTTGGTGGATTACTTAACAGAAGAAGTGACGTTTCAAACTTCGGTAACACTTCATGGTTTTGTTTAGAAAAAGAAAAAGGAGCGAATAGTTTTGGAGAATGAGCATTGGACTGTTGTAGTTCCCTATTGGGCATTCTGGCCTTTCGAGACTATACTATTGCCTAACAGACATATAAGGAGAATGGATGAAATCACTGAGGTGATTGAGAAATGATTCTTCTTCATTTCTTTTTTTAGGCTGAAGAGAAGACTTTGGCTGCGATAATGAAGCAGCTGGTCATCAAGTATGACAACATATTCAAGGTACAACAGAAGACTTGAAAAAACTAATGTTGTTACAGTGCTATTTCCCATACAGTATGGGATGGCTTGGAGCTCCTACAGGAGAAACACAAGCTTCTGATCATTGGCAATTGCATGCTTCTTTCCATCCACCACTACTCAGGTTAGTCGACCTTCTTTCGGACGACCAGCTTTTCATTTCAGATCATCTTCTGTTCCCAAATATTTAGCTGGATATGAAATGTTTTCGGAATGTCAAAGAGATATGACTCCTGAACAGGTTGAATTAAGTATTTGCGAGGTTTGAATCAATTTTCCAGGCTGCTGATATCTTGAGAAACCAAGCAGGAGTTCACTTCTCCAAGTCTAGTCAAGAATAGAAATAGATAACAATTCATTCAAAAAATAAATAGTTTCAACAGTTACGTACCAATCTTGCCTGTACGAAGGCACGAGGCACATTAACACCCTTCTCCTTGTTTATTGTCCTCCGATACAGATATTCTTTATTGCTACAGGTGAATCCATCTCTCTCGAAGAGTTCCACAAGTTCCTCTTAGATGGACACATTCAAATCAAGATCTGTGTTGAAGAAACTAACCTAGTTCGAAGTAATATGCTAATGTTCCATCTTGTCTAGTATAAAACCTATCAGCTACTTTTGATTCTCTTCCGAAACGAATCATGGCATGATCGTTTATGGCGTAGTCTCGGATTAGCAATGACCCACCGTCCTGAAAGCTATGAGGTTAGAGAAATCATCGAATGTCGTAAAATACCGCCATGAGATCTTTCATATTTGCTACAACTGTAGCAAATTTTTCTGGGGGAATGGCTGACATAACGAATATTAGAGTGGCGAAGTTAGCTTTTCTGCTGAACACAGGAACCTCGATAGGTTTTGATAAATCCAAAACTGTTGTTTCAACATCCATCTTGAATTTCAATTGAGTGATCAGTTGTGAGACAACCACATACGTTGTGTTCAGCTGCTCGCTTACGGAGCATTTCTACTGCATTCTTTGAGAAATCAAATGCTTGTAGTTTAAGAGAAGGGTACGAGAACGCCAGAGGAAATAACATGTTTCCAACCCCACATCCGGCTTCGAGATAAGTGAGATCGGCCTAAACTTCAAGTTATCGAAGAACTCAAGAATCACAAACCTGGAAGTCCATATCTTTGCAGAGCAGTTTCACGTCTTCCGGTGACCAATTCCTATCTTTAAAAAATTTGTCTGTGTTTCTATTATAGAATTTATCCCAATTTTTCTGTGCTTCATTCTCTAGCTTGTTCTTTTTGAAATCAGAGACGAAAGTCTGTAACAACACAACATTCGATGATTTCCATCTTAGAGTAATTCATATATTAAGTTGAACGGTACAGTTTCAATGTCTAATTAGCATAATCACCCTTTCCACGGGAGTTCCACGGGAGCTCCGTAAGCAAAAGGACGCCGTTACAACATCATTTCAAAATTGTTTTGATTGTTAGGCGGTTGAATGAGCTGTACTTTTTTCTTTCTAATTTTATTCCAGGGTAAGAATTTCAGATATTTCCAAAAATAATGACCTGTTTCTTTAGTTTTTCAACATCATCCTCTGTAAGCTCCCTTGGCTTGTCACTGATCATCTTGAAAGGATGATTCGTTTCATCATCCATTATCTAAACATTATTTTTAAAATTTTAATTCAATTTTGAAGATATATATTATTGAAATAAGCATTTGAACATCTCTTCAGTCAAGCAATTAGAAAAGAGTGAACTATTGGTCCTGCGCGGATTGATTCTGAAATATTTTAGAACTTAGAAGTTTTGAATATAGCTAAGTACTTTTCCTGAATTGCATCGTTTATTTTGATTTTTTTGTTTCCATTTGTTTGTAACTTCAAGTTTTTGGTAGATATGGCAAGGATAGAGGTGGACTTCCCACGTGGGAAACCTATAAAGTTTGATGACGACAGTTCAAGTGCCCAAACTAAAAAAAGGAAGATAGAAGAAGACGACGATAATGAGTTATTTCCATCAGCGGTAGCTTCATTAATTTCATTTGCATATGAAAATTACAAATTTATAGGACAAACGAAAACTTGATATCAAAAAAAAGAAAGCCAAGAAGGCCGTCGTTGCAGCTAAGCCTACCGATGGTCTATGGGTTAAGAACCTTAATTATGAGTACTTGACAGAGGGTGTTATGGGAATGGGAGTAGTTACAGAGGTAGCATTGTACTTTCCTCTACGTTTTTATCATGTCTTACCTAGATTCATGAAGATAATGTAATTTTGGAAACAATAGATTCATGTAATGTGAAGCTAGCTGCTAATCAAGTAGGATATAATAATGCATATTCTTCTGACTTTGTTATCTTTTGTAGATAGGAAAGACCTTCACATCGCTCTTGAAATCTGAGGAAGTTTCATTAGAACAAAGTTTTGTAATTGGTCAAATGGTTCCTTTCAAAGTTATAAAAGAGTACAAAAAAACAGGTTGTCATATTTTCTAAGCTCTTCGCTTTACGTTCAATTCAGAAGGTCCAAAGCAGTCTAAAAGTAAAGTTGAATTTCCCGCAGTGACTTGTGATCCTTCCAAGTTAAATAGTCATCTAGTACCCTCCAAAATAGAATGCGGTCTTACCATTCATGGTATTGTATCGAGTATCGAAGAGAAAGGTTGGATTATTTATAAAGGTGAAAAACAAATAACTTAAATTTATTTTAAGGTGCTGTAGTGGACTTGGGTTTACAAAATGCGAAAGGATTCTTGGCGGTTGATAAGCAACCATCTAAGGGAATATTCGTAGGCCAGCCTATTTTAACTCGTGTAGAAACTAATGGGGGAAGAGTTTTACAACTCAACTCCTTTGTTGAACAAGTAAGCTGTTAAGTAGATCCAAATGTATTTACTTTTCTTCAAGGACAATCTCAGTGTACAAGCCTGTGATCGGCTTCAATTGTCTACATTCATGCCAGGAACTATCGTTGAATGCTTACCAAGTGAAGATGAACCTTTAGCTAGAGGAGTTATTGTTACTATGGGCAATGGTAATCGTGTACAACTCTACTGTCCTAGTTGGTCATATTTGCAGATGTGAAAGCTCTTATTCAACGCAAAAATCTCCCTCCACGGTTAAGAGCTGATACCAAACGATTCACTAGACCTATCCGTTGTGTTGTTATGGTATGTGCACAAAATGCAAATATTTTCATTTTGTCTGCACATCCTGATATTGTTGCTGTTTCTAAACCAGAGAAAAGAACATCATTTTTGGTGAGATTGTTTTCGCGTTTTTAAAACTTCTTCTCATTTAAGGATATCAAAGTTGGAGATAAGATTAAAGGAACTGTCCTAGAAACCAACTCGTTCAACAATGCCGTCTCATTTTCATTACCTGTTGGTGATGATGGGAAAACACCTCTATTAACTGCTTTTTCTTTCTCACCTTTACTTCATCTCGATGAGGACTTTGGTGAGAACGGTTTCTTCGTTAAAATCATAATATTGTACTTAACAGATTCGACATATCCCTTTGGATCCACACACAATTGTAGAGTTTTGAGCTATCGATATGCAGATCGAACCTTGTTAGTAACTACGCGTAAAGACAAAATTAAGCAGAGCGCAGTTTCTTATTCAGTATGTCGCAAATCACCTTGTGTTAAAATATTAAAATTTGAAGGAGTTTACTGCTGGTCAAATGGTGGAAGCCAAAGTAGTCAAAGTTAACGATAGTGGTGCTCTCGTCGTTATTAACGAAGACGTGAGGGGTTTCCTACCGGCGCTTCACATTGCTGATGCTCATGTGGATATTGCGAAAGCATTCCCAGTTGGTAAGGTTCTATCTCGCTTCTCTATTTCATAACTCTCGTTTAGATAAAGTATTCAAGTGTCGAGTGCTTGCTGTTGATCACGAACGGAAGCGTGTAGAAGTCACTGCAAGGCCATCGTTCTTGAAATATGATGTAAGCATAATTTTTTTTACTTTTTTGAACAAAAGTTTCTGTTAAGGATAAACTTATAACATCTTATGATGAGTCGAATGTTGGCACAACATGCATAGGAGTTATCGTTCATTCTAACCCCAAATCTTTCTTGGTTTCTTTCTTCAACAAAGTACGAGCATTTCTTCCGTTCACCATGGTGGGAGATGGCTCTTTGAAGTGAGTAAAATTCATCCATATTCTCCCTGTAAGCTATGCTCTTCACATGAACATTTGTTTTCAGAATTGGAAGCAAAGTTCTGGCTCGTGTAATGAAGTGTTCTGCGGAAGATGAGAACATGCTAGTATCATTAGCTGATGCCGCATCTCTTTCTAATAAGAAATTTGTGAAATATGAAGTTAGTCAAGTTTCACAATTTTGAAATACTTTTTCCTTTTAGCCCGCTGCTCTTCAAGCCAAAGTCTATACCGGACGTGTTCAGGAAATTCGTGTTTCTGATGTCGGTGGAAGAAGAGTAGAAAATGTTTATTTCCATATAAAGCAAAAAGGAGAGGTATTTAGAGTTATCTTGCATTGAAACTATCAAAAATAAATCTTTTTCCAGACACTCGAAGCCTTGTTATCTTCATTCCATGCTTCTGATACAATCGACCAAACCGTGGAGAGTTTCACAGATCTGTTCAAAGTTGGGCAAACTGTATCAGGATTGGTTCCATTAGGTGCTAGCTTTGGTGTGCAAAGGGTAATTTTTTCCGTTTTGCTTGCAAGCTTCAGTGAGAAATTTCAGGTTACCTCTAAGCCATTTGTAAGCCAATGGATTGAGGAGAAGAAATATACCCCTATTTCCTTTGAAGATCTCAAAGAGGATCGGGTACTTGAATTTGCAGAAATCTGTCTATAAGTTTCTTTTCAGCTTGTATGTGGTATCGTTATCCAAAAAACTGAATCTGGTCATGTTGTTGAGCTTGTTGGAGGTGGTGGATTAACTGGTAAAATTGACACCTCAAAAAAGAAGAGTTCGTACTTATTTTGTTACTTGCTTTGATGAAGTTGTTTCAGATGTCAAAGAGAAAAGTGATGAAGTTAGTCTTCAAATCGGGCAAACCGTTGTTGTTAGGATCTCAAAAGTTTTCGAGGAGGCAAAACAATTCATTCTTGATAGAAGAGTATGGTGTCTTGTTAATTTCTATCCAACCTGTTTCCGTAATTTAGGTTGAAAACTGTATCACTGATCAGCAGAACCTTTTCGAGCTTTCTGAATTCTTGGCCAAGTCATATGTCACTGAGCTCCAAACTCTCTGTTCTTATGTTAAAGGAATTCCTGTCATTGGTTTGTTCATTAGATTTTAGTTTAGTTTAATTTTTTTTTCCAGGATCTTCTGTCAAAGCTACCGTTACCCATATTGTGGATGACACGTTGTTCGTGAAAATCTCAGATGATGTTCTTGGACATGCGAAAAAAGGAAATTATCCAGATAACGCTAAGGTACTTTCTGTTATTTGCCAAGTATTATAAATCCCTTTCCAGGTTGGTGATAAATTGACCGGGCTGGTTTTAAGTTACTCTTTCCCCCGTAAAGACGCTGAAATAGTTTGTACCTTGAAGAAGAAGGTATTTTTTGTTTTTTCAACTGATTGTCTAATGTTCAAACTTTGAAGAAGGGTGAATCTAGTCAAGCCAGAGTTGTACAAGTAAGGAAAGACTATTTCATTGTATTGCAAGAGAAGAAACTAGTCTTTGTTCCTAATCGTCTTCACCCCAACATTACTCCAGCTAACAAAAATGGTATGACTCAATTGCATTGATGACCAATTGAAAATTATGTTTAGGACGTTTCAATATGGGCGATGTTGTTGTGCTAAAACACGTTCAAGATATGTTTGATAATGTTTCAATGGGCTTCTTCGAAAATGATATCGAAGTACTATCGAAATTGTCGAAACAAAAATCTACTGTATGTATTAGGATGTTAGATCAACACTCAATTCGTTGTTTAGGGATCGGGGCACCACTCGCTTAAACCTATGTTTGAGTATACGGCTACAGTTCTTGGACCTTGGGATGGAGAGGATAAAGTACCTTTCGCGGTCAAACTATCTTTGCCTCATGATCATATTGGTAGGACTTCATTTCGGAATTTTGAGAAACACAGTACTGCTTTAGGACGACTTCATATCTCCGAGTTTCCTGAGAAGTTTGTGCAAGGCAGAAAGAATATCGAGAAGTCATATGAACAATTCTTGAAAACTCATCTAAACAAGAGCATACACGTTCGTTATATTGAGTTAACCAAAACAAATGACGAAAAGGTATAGTTCTCACGGGAAAAAAAAAGAAAAATGGCTCTTTGTAGATTGCTGAAGTTACTATGAATGAGAAGAAATTGGGTCTCAAAAGACGAGGAAAACTGCTTAATTACGAAACGAAGTTCCAAGTTTGTCTCCTCATGTTCTCTCCCACTTAATCATTTACTTTTTAGGGAAGCGGAGTTTTCACTTGTTTCGCTACTGGTGAAACGACTGCTCAAGGTGTTCACGTCGTTCTTAATCCATATGCTGATGGATACATTAGCTTGGAAAGTCTTTCGGACGAATATATTGTAATTTATCAGTATTCTTATCTCGAATATACGTAACTTCTAGGCGAAGAATGAAACATCCGATACTGGCGCAGTAGTTGATTTGAATATTCCCCGAGGAGAAGTACTTCTGGCTTCAGTTGTCAGTTTTACATCTCAAAAAAGAAAGAAGTCTCTCATTCTCAATATGTGCTCTAAAGCTGACCTAAATAGCAAAGTAAGTTCTTCCTCGTTTTCTTGATTTTAAACTTCGACTTAGTGTCAAGAAGGAGATTCTGTCACTGCCAGAGTTCAAAGCGTTGCTAACAACTTGAGCGTTTCAGTAAGTTTAATGTCATATTCCAACTTTATATTACAATTCCTCAGTTTGTTCTGAAAACGGGTGAAAGAGCTACCCTCGGCCCAACTGCTATTACGCGAAAATATGAGAACATTGAAGAAGCTTTGAAGAAGTTCCACAAAGATGAAGTAACATAAAAAGTGTCAGTTATTATCTCTAATTATGACTATTTTTCTAGATGTATCAGCTTCGCTTATTCCGAAAAGAAGAGAAACCTATTCGAATTCATTTGGCTACTGAAGCAAGATACAAGGAAACTCCAAACACTGATAGTAAAAAAGTGACTCTCACTGATCCAAGACAAATGATAAAGAGTCTAGAGAGTTTCAAGCAATTAACTGGACAAACGGTATGTTTATCGTTACTGTTTCATAACTCATGCTTATGTAGATGGAAGGAATCGTAGTTGGAGTTACTCCCAGGAGCATTTACGTGGAATTGAGCCCTGGGCTCAGAGGAGCGTTCAAGACTGAACAATTACCGTACGTTTATCAGTTTTTTCAGAGTTTAATATGTATTTTCAGTGTCGACTCTGAAATAGCCGTGGGATCCGTTGTTAGTGTTCTAATTATGGTGGTCGATCGCAAAAAGCTTTGGATAGGCTTGAAGTTCAAAGCAATCATTCATACAGGCAGCAACTCAACGGTTAGTATTCATTAAACATTAACATGCATGAATATCTGTTTTCAGATTACTGTTAAGGAACCAAAGTCAGCGAAAAAGAAAGCTTTGAAGCAAAAAAACGAGAAAGTTCAACAAAAGGAAACCGTAGCCGTATGATTCATTTAATAAGACTTTCTCAAGTTTTTAATTCAGATTGAAGATCCTGGGTTCGACTTCGACAACACTGGCTTCACCACCGCCGACCTTGCCAACGCTGCTAAACTGGGAAAAGACGTGAAAGCTATTGAAGGCCATGACGAAGATTTCAAAACTATGAGCGCCGCCGAAGTTAAGAAGAAGCTTGCGAGAATAATGGGTGAGCAGTTGATGTTCATTCTTGTTTCATACCTAATTCAGCTGCCGATAAGACAGAGGCAGAAACAGAAGTTGAACTAGCAGTTGCCGAAAACGCTATTGCTAATAACTACGAACCAGTAGATGAGAATGATTTCAACAGGCTAATCAGAAGAGACCCTAATACAGCAGAGCCATGGATAAAGTAAGGAGTTACATAGACAGATTTGTGATTAATTGCCATACGTTCCAGATACATGTCATATTTCTTAGAGAAAAATGACTTGGTTAGTGCACGTTCAACTGCTGAGAGAGCGTTGACTTCCATTCATTTCAGGTAGTTTGAGGAAATAATCAGCAATGTAAAATATGCATTACAGAGAAGAAGCAGAAATTTTCAATGTCTGGATAGCTTACTTGAACATGGAGGTAGCTTTCGGAGACATGATGACAGTTCGGGCTGTTCTTCATAGAGCCATCAAAAACGCAGATCCTTACAACATTTACAAGCAACTAGCTTTGATTTTCACTAAAAATGAGCAAATCGATGTAAGTGGCTGGTTTACTCGTTTTTTCATAACTAATTTTGTTTTCAGAAAGCTGATGAAATGTATGATACGATAATAACAAAGTACCGCGCATCCGGTTTCGATGCCTGGGTCATGTACGGTACACACTTGATGAACACAGAAAGAGTTGAAAAATGTCGCGACGTGCTGAAGAGGGCTCTCCTTAGTGTTCCTAAGGCTCGCCGTAAGTTACATATGCGTTGCTCTCTATTACTGTTTTACTTATAGATTGTGATTTGATCACTCAATTCGCTCTGTTGGAGTTCAAGAAAGGAGATCCTGAAAAAGGCCGAACTCTTTTTGAAAATCTTGTAAGTTTTTTTTTCATTGTTGGATTTGAAGTTATTATACTTGTTTAGATAACAGCATACCCAAAAAGAACTGATTTGGTGTCCGTCTATGTCGATGCTGTTGTGAAACATTCGGGAATTGAAGATGCGAGGTTTGTGACGAATGAAGCAATGAGTCTTAATTGGATTTCTACAGAAATATCTTGGACCGCGCTTGTAATTCGAAAATAAGTATGCACAAAGCCCGTCCAATCTTCAAGAAATGGATGGAGTTAGAAAACAAATTTGGAGATGAGAGCTCTCAACAATTGGTAAGTGTTCTCAAAGCCTTATGAAGTATAATGAAACTGTGTTAAGGTACGATCTAAAGCTCAGAAATGCGTCGCAGATATTGTTGATGAGGTGTAATAATACTAATTTTTTTGTTTTTTTTTTGTTGGACCCTTTGTTGAAATTTATAATGAGACTAGTTTGTTGAAAATTGTTATTTTTTGTTGTTGTTGTTATATTAAATTGTTTTTTACTATGTTTGCTGTTTTCACTAATATCAAATTCAAGTTTGTAATCATATCTCTTTTATTCATTTTTTTTTCATTTCAAACACTTTCTACTTCCAGTTCACTAACACGATTCATGCGGATGGACAAACCATTACGTTCTCAATAGCTTCGTCGTTTTACGTTGTTCTTGTACATGAGCTCCATATCCTTTTCTGATGATTTGAAAGCTTGTTGTGAGCTTATCTGGTTTTAGTGAACGCTCTGAGTTCGTTTAACACCTTGAACACTCACTGGTCGCTTCTCTCTTCCTACTAATCAACACTATCATGTCGTTGGACGGAAGTAGGGGCCATTCTAGTTCAACTGAAGACAGAGAACAAAATGTTGGCAACAAGTTGAAATATCTGAAGAATTTCGGTAAGAATCCTATTGTGTGGCTGCAACTTATGTTTTTCTTAGATTTGACCAATGGGATGTGCGAGATATTGCCCAATTTATATCTTGGTGGCTTGCGAGATGTTACGGATGTTAATCAGATTGCAAAAAATAAGATTGAGGTATTTGAAAGCTTATTTACTTCTCCATTCGGATGATTTCAGTACGTTCTTACTATTCTTGATATGAAAATAGAGTTTACCTTTCAAAAGAACATGGTTGTGAAACGAATTAGGATCCCAGATTCACCGTCTGAGAATATTTCCACTTTCTTCTCCGAAGCTATTCAGTATATTCATGAAGCAAGAATTAGAGGAGGTGAATTCAGGAGTTTCTACCGTTGTCTGAACTACCTTCTTCAGCATCTGTTGCCGTACATTGCTTAGCTGGAGTTTCTCGTAGTGCTACGATTGTCACAGCTTATTTAATTACTGTATGCGGATTGACTTTCTTCAATGCTCTGTCCTTTGTTTCTTCGAAACGACCTGCGGTTAATCCAAATTTTGGATTCAGAATGCAATTGGCCAAATACGAGAAAACTGTGAGAAAGAAAGTGAGATTCGATCATTTTTAAGCTTTCCAGCCTGCTTCACATGAAAGACAACGTCTTCGAGAGTTATTCACACCAGCCGTTTTCGATAGACAATGGCAATTAGATCGAATTGCTACTCGAGCAAAGGTTGGTTCACGCTGTGTTATGTCCTGGTGAGTGTTGTCGTTTAGCTTGTATTTTCGTATCTAACTGTATTCGTGCTCAACTAACATTGATTGAAATTCAGCGTTTATCAGAAATTTTTGCATACAGATAAACATGAACACGCTCATGTAAACTGCTTTACAGATCATTACGCAGACTTCCGAGGAATCAACTAGTGAGGGAAACAGTTGCGCATAATTTCAGCGGTGCTTGTATATAGTTACTGACTATCAATTTCTACCTCCTCATACTAACTCATAACACTTACATGTTCTAACCTCTCGTATTTGATGAAGCCTAACTTGTGATACTCAGGATATTTATATTGGTTCTGAAACATAAATAATTGAATAAATGAATGAAAAATGTATATTATTTTTCGATTCATATAATCGTTCATACCTTTGCTCTCTCTCTCTCTCTTGCCATTCAATATTTGTTATGCTACAGGAAAATGACAAGCGAAAGCGAAGTAGAGTTCATGTCTGACTCCAGTCAAGTACAAGAAAGCCGAGTGGTAATCCATCTGACAGTTTTGTTGAAGGAAGTGTTTTCCAGGCATCGCGCAATAGAAAATCCGGCTCTCAAGTGAAACCGATACCCCAAAAACGTGCAAATGTAATTGTGAAATGAAGTAAATGTAGACTTGCTCTTGATTTTAGACTAGTACACCAAGACAACCAAAACGGTTGAGACCAAATTTAAGCTCGGACGAAGTTGAAAAGAAGGGAAACCAGCTTTTAGATTTCTTTGATTTCAGAACTCTGATTCGAACATGATCATATCTGAAGACAATGTGTTGGATTCGAAAGAAAGAAAGCGAAAAGTCATTTTTGCATCTAGCAAAAGCTGGACTACATCTACGAGTGGTTTCAGATGAGTTCGAAGAAGAGTGTGATGAATAGCTCTGCGGTAGAAGTGGATTCTCTAGAAAATACAGCGAACGAGGAAGACGCCAATGAGTCGGTAACAACCAAAGGTAGACCGAAGAACACACCGAAGGCTACTTCCAAAAATACACCGAAGGCTACTCCGAAGCAAACCGTAATCTTTGAAAACCATAAATACAGCTCCAGTACATCTACGAATGGTTTCAGATGAGTTCGAAAAAGAGTCGAAAAGAAAATCCTGTGGAAGAAGTGGAATCTCTCG